TCTAATCACAGGGCAGCTGAGTTTCCAGCTGGGATATCTTAGCATATATAGCATTTAACTGTCTGAGCAGTCTATGGTGCCTATACCCCTCACTCATGCATTATTTTTAGTAATTATTAACCCTGTGTAAAAACATAAAACTGGTTCAGGTTGGAGGGGTGGAAAAAAAAAAAAAAACAAACACAAAAAGTGCTTTAATGGACATAACTATTTTTCCTGAACCAGGAATTTCCAATGTTACAAATACAAGGTTTTGGCATGTGAAGGGCTGGTTTTCAATTTGTTGCTACAAGGCTGCCAAAGTGTCAGTATGGATTCCTGCAGGGCCTTTGGGGGCAGGGTGGGGGGCTCTTTTCTTTTTCTCTGTCCATTTCAGTTCTAGTCAAAATAATTAGCTATATATATTATTTTTTTTCTGATCTTTGTATAATGCCGGTACATCATTGTGTATTGTGACATGGATGCTGTCAGAATGGATGTTTGATGGCATTTTTTGTAACCTGTTGCTTTGTGTCACCTCATTGGAAGTTAGCAGCAATGGTACTCAATGTAAACAAAGCAGACTTGAACTGGAAGTAAACACACTGGATTGCTTACCTGTGGAGAAGTCACTGTCAGCAAAACACACCTGCATAAGATTTTATTTCATTTCCTCTGCATCTGCTATCACCTGGCAGGGCACCAGGGTGTAGGGCAGTAGCTCAGCTGCCCTCAAGAGCCTGATAATCTCCTTCAGCTGATTTTCTTTTTTCTTCCTTTCTTCTGGCAGGTAAATAGGTGCATACTTATTTGGTAACTACTTCATCGTGGTATTGGTTACAGCAAAAAACTTATTTAAAACTGTATATTATGCAAAACTGCATAGACTTAACATAATTCCCAGATAAAACAGGTCCTTGTGAGGGGTACTAAACAAACAGGGAATAACAGCTGATTACTAAATGGGTGTGATATGCATTTCCCTTCCCTTCTGTTTCCAGACACCTTCCACTGCTCCCAGTCCTGGAGCAGGGATGCTGTTTCTCCAAGCACAAGGTGGATGCAGAAGGGAAGGGCCCCTTGTTTCAGGGAGCCAGCTGGTAACAAGAAAGGCTCCAGTGGTGCACATTTCTCCCTCATTTCACTGTGTGCCTCAGCTGGAGGGCCTGCCATTCCAGTAGGAACAGCAAAGAGCCTAAACTGAACAAAAACCGAAACTATCAATAGGCACTTGACCATTTAGATCTTGCCTCCATGCTTTTTTAAAAAAATGCATTTCAGATTTTCATTATATGCTTACTCAGAAAATGTGTTCATATCCTTTTAGACAACTAGCTGGGGGAAAAAAAAAAAAACCAACCCACAAATTCTTTCTCATCTGCTGTCTCCTCCCTCCTGCTGGCCATTGAGCCCATGCTCATTCTGTATCACAGAGCAGGGTAAGCAGGTTACTGCTAAACCATTCCCTGTGCCCACAGTGTCACAGTGTGAGCTGGCTGTAACAGGAGCTTGGCTGAATGTGGCAGGGTCCAAAATTGCTGCAAAGATGCCAAAATCACACTGCAGCAAAGGACACTGAGCAGCCTGAGTTTACTAGACAGTTTGGAATGTGTGTCAGAAATTTTTCCATTTGCACAGCAGCAGGTGTGTGTTTTTCCTTTAATAGCTATTTAATCACAAAGTCAATTACAATGAAAACTCCATCAGAATTATACCTTTTCCCACCCCACACAGCTGTGTCAGTGGACATGTGGGATGGCAATGGAAACCACCTCTCCCAGCATTCAGGACATGAGTAAAGCAATAAATGATCCTGGAAGACACTGTGGATCAGAATACTCCTGCAGAGCTTTTAATTCTGAATTGACACATCACAATTTTGGCTTTGCCTTATCATACACCTTCAGTGTAAGTCCAAAAGAACAATGTTTTGGACTCATGCTTCATGTTAATGTTGTTTCCAGCATCTGCTAAAGTAAAACCCTCCAGTCATCACAGCTGTAAAGCTGTCTGAAGCCTCAGGTTTGGTAATAGATATTTGGAATTATGGGCTTCATGTCCAAGGCTCTGCTGACACTATTAATGCTCTTTATTGATCTGCTGCTCTTCTAGATGTCTGCAAAAGCAGCTCTGTGCTGTGAGTGACCATTGTCTGAAACCAGGGCAGGTTTTTCTCCTTGTCTCATGCTGTGTGTGCTGCCATGGAAGCAAAAAATAGGTAAAATTAAGTACTTGGAAGTGGTAAGAAGAGTGTGTGGAAGTGTGGCCTCTCCAAGCACATCCTGTGCAGTGAGCCCTGGGTCTTCAGAACTGTTTTCTTCAAACATCACCAAAAGATGAAGAACAGGCCAGGAAGACTTACTTGTGCTTTATTTCAGTTTAAGTTTTGGGGGTTTTTTTTCCTACACCAGGATGAATTTCTCCTATCAAATAATCAACATCTTATCCCTAAAATGCTCCTGCCCTCCCTCCTTTAACCACAGTCACACCACCTGCCTCTCACTTCTAATTTTTAAGGGCTTGTATCAAAATTGTAATTTCATTGAGGCAGGCATAATCTGTTATTTCAGCCATTTCTTGTGAGAGAATAATGTTAGTGCTCTTGGCATGGATGGGAGCAGAGTGGGTTGAGCTTTGCTGCTGCTGTGACAGGCACCAGTGGGGACTGGGAATCTTCTAGAAAGGCTCCCTATTTTCACTCATCTCCTCTTTTAATCTGCAAATATTACCAAGGAACAGAAGCACAGACTCATATCCTGATTTTCATTTTGGTCTGAAAACTTAGGAAGTAGTTAGAGGCCAAAGTTGCAACCTAAGCAACTCAGAAATTTAAAAAAAAAGATAAAGCCAAGCCAAAGGCACTTATTAGCAAAAAGCTGACATAGCTGCAGTAGAAATTTAAAGTCTGTGAAATATTTAAACACAGAATCAATACAGACTCTTTCTTGTTTGCACTTCTCATTTATAATGTTGGTGTTTTTATGTAGAGGTGGGAGATTGATCTCAAAATCATTTCCTCAAATACTTTTGATGTATCAGAACCTTAAATAGGGATGGTTTAAACACCAGACTCAATATAGTAGAAAACCTGGGCTCCTATGAAGGGGTAATTTGGCCAGAAAATTGAGTTCCCATTCATAATCATGTATCCTTTGTGCTTCAAATGCAGGAAAATCAGTGATCCTACCTGCTTGAACAAGGTCTGGTATTCAAGCTATAGCTTGCTTCTATCTGTGACCTGAAAACTCAAAATGCCTTCACTCCCACATTAAAATAAAAATTCTGTGACTTACAGGTTTCCTAATTAGAAAGAATTTACATCCTTGCTTTGTTCTCTTAAATTATCACAATTTGAAGTTCACAAACACTCATGAACACACTGAGAGCTCTGCACATTTTAGACTGTCATCATAATTTTGCATATGATATCTCTACTGCTTCATAAACCATTTATTTCTGCACACATCAGTCATGGATATATGCACTTATTTCCCAACCTCACTCAAAACAAAAACCTAATAAGCAATAAACACCAATTTTTATACAGTTCAATGCTTTGGAGCAATGGAAGTTTGTATAAAATCCCACAGATCACAGTTTGTCTGAGCAAAGCCCTGTTTAACATTTGAATATCTGGATGGTAAGTAAAGTGCTCCACCCATAAATATTGGCTAGAAGCGTTCTTTCTGCATTTATTCTGTGGTTTCACAGTGGTTTGCTCTCCCCATGGTGTCCCAAGGGAACAAGCAGCCTACAGAGGTGGGAAGAAGTGCCTTGCTGATGTTGAAATGTTTGTGCTTTGAAAGCACAGAACTGCTGAGTGAACACAGGCTGCTAAAACTCCCTCCCTCTACCCAGCTAAAGAGGCAGATTGATGGCAGAAAAATACCAAATTACTCCCACTTATCAAATGTCTAATAAGGCACTGATTTTGGCATTTAAAAAACTGCTTTCTTTCCTTCTCAAAGACATATCACATCCTTCTAAAATATTAGTCTTGAAAAAATACTGCACAAATCCTAGAGAAAACATTTTGAATGGAACACTACATTTTACTACTGGTTTCGTTTTAACCATGGAATATTTTGAAGAAAACATTTAATTTTCATTTGAGGAACCCCAAATGAGATCTCCTTCTGATTTCCTGTGAGTGCCAACAAAATGAAAATTCAAAAACTGCACAGCAGCATAAGGGTGAAGCTCCCTGCAGTGCTTTAAAGCACCAAGAATATTCCTGTAAGCAGGGGAATATTTGCCTCAACACCATTCAGATTTCCCAGACTGTAACACAGAAATTACAGTGGTTAGTTCAGCAAAGTTTAAAGGGTAAATGCAACTCAAGGAGCACCTGGTTGTTAAGTCATTAACTGTGAAAAAACTGTGAAAAAAAGACACAAACCAATCAACCCACCAACCCCAAGATGGTTCTGGTTATTCAGTGTGTGGAAGGGATTTCCCCTTTTCTCCCTAAGTATCTCCTAAGATGCTTCTGAGCACACTGACCACATTCAGACTTGTCTGGCACTTTTTAAACATCAGCTCCACAGAAACCCAGCTCCAAAAAACCCCAAACTGTTGTGAAGCCACCTCTTTTCTCTCATAGATGAAATATGAGTCCTCCCTCCAACACCTCAGAGTGCCAAACTTCACAAATTCTGGGATGTCCCAGAGCTGGTGCCTCTTTCTGGGCAAAAGAAAATCATGTTCTAAATCCTGAAATAAAAACCAGCAGAGAGCATCAGTATTGGCTTCTAATTTTGGTAATTATCAGGGGAGTGGAGGTGCAGGTTGCTTTTTTATAGAATCAGACATCCTCCCATGAGAAAAGGCAGGGACTCTTAAGTTTTAAATAAAAGTTTCAAACACCTTTTAAAATGTTCCTCCTGTTGCACATACAAGTAATAGGATTTATAACTTCTTAACCCATTTCTGAATAAGGCCATGTTTATGCAGACAGGCATAAAGAATATACAGAAAATATAAAAACATACATGAACACACAACCAACCACACAGAAGTAATATTTGCAAGGACATTTACAATAAATGGCACTAACACCTTTATTAAGATTTTAATTTTTCATTTGTGAAAAAAATGAATAGATTTTTTTTCCCTTGTACGCAGAGGAAAAGCATACTAATGGCAAAAATCAAGATTACTTTCTTATTTCAATACTGTCTTTGTAGCCACAAAGATACAATAATTTAACAGACAAGAAATACTGTTTATTGCAGACTTTAAGCTGATTCATGTGAAAAAGGCACTATGAAACTTAATCAAACTAGATGATTAAATTTGTCTAAATTAAGTGATATTATATATTATATATAATACATATATTATATATAAAATCACATGACCATATGAAACAGAACATTTTGTGACAAAAATCATTGCATCTCCAAAAATAACATTTTCTGTAAGGGATGTTTCTCTTTTCTTTTTTCCCCTGTTTTACCTTCAGGAATCCACTTTTCCAAAAGATTACATTTATAAAGGCAATTACAAAGGCTTTTTGCATGAGGAAAAACCGATACCTGGGATCAACACACAGAGAAGTCTAGATTATACACTGTTCTTTTTGATAGGTTAAGTTACAGACAAAAAAAAAAAGCAATTATGTTTTAAAGAAAAATATGCTGTGAGTTGTTGCATGGCTACAGCAGATCTCATCTCCTCTTTGAGCTGGGTTGTATTACTATTTTCTAGTTACTCTTTCTTGTGCAATATTATAGTTCATCACAGGTGAAATATGGATAAAATCAATGTACAGAATATTATTTTGCTATAAACAGCATCATTAGTAATAAAACATCTTGGGAGTGATGCAGGAAAGATTCAGCCTGTGTTGGGCTGCTGTTCATTCCCTAAACATTTCCTCCACATTTGCTGGAGCCGACAACTTAAGTAAACATCCTGCAGCCAAATGCCTGACAAGAAAGACTGAGCCAAAAAGGACATAATTGCACACTACAGCAAGAGATGGGATTCAGAATCTTATTATTACTGAAGGGTTCAAGTGCTTTTTTATTGCTGGCTCAGCTTCCCTCAAATGAATCACCAACAAAGACGTGCTCCAGTTTATCTGTCATGTTAATTCCGTAAAGCCAAGACTCATCTCTGGCTGTAAATGAATCATGAACCAATATTTTCACCTGTCAGGAATCTCCACGGTGTTTCTCATCTGTTCATTTCTCATGATGAGGAGCCAGCAGCAGGTACTTCTGTGGAGACTACTGTAAATTTTCTTTATGTTGGCTACGTTTACAATACAATAAGACATTCTCCTTCACTGCTTCCTAAAGCAAAGCTGGATGGTTTTAATGCTATGGACAATGGAATTAAAGAAAAGAGGAAACACATTTTTAGTGGCTGCTCCCTTCATCAAAGGACTCCACACCTGAATCTGTGGCAGCTGCACTGATTTTTTCTTGCCGTCTTCTCATAATTTCTTGCAGTTCTGAGCTACCACTGCTAGCCTATAAACAAAAGAGAAGAGTTTACTTGTAATAAAGAGTTTGAGAGGTGCTGAAATTCCTCTGCCAGCATTTTGTTAAGATAGTTGTTTGAGCAAACTCACCTTGCAGCTCCAATTGACAAATATTTACACTATCCTTAAATATAGACCAGAAAAAAAAATAATCTGCAGACTATTAAAAGCATATGTCATCATTGCTGAGCATCTTTAATTCCCACATGAGGTCCTGGCAGTGTTGGACATTTAGGGGGTTTATAAAATATGGCTTCAGTAAAAGCAGAATTAAAGCACAATGAGTTTGTTAGGATTCCACACTTAAAAATCAAGGCAATAATATTTAAATTAAAAACCTGAAAATAAATCCTTGATGGGTTTAAAAGCTCACACATGCACATGGGATTGCATGGGCAAGACCAAAGTAAGGATTCAGTCTCAGGCTCTCACAGAATTCACCATGAGGCATCTGCAGCCCAGAAACACAGATTTCAAATTTAGAGCACACTCATAGAAATTGGACCATATTATAATATTAGCAACAAGGAAGTGTTGTGAGGACAAGGCTTTATTTCACTTTTTAACAGTGAAAACCAGGTCTGCTGAACCAGCTGCTTTTTCAACATAAATGAAATTATTATCAAGGCCAGGACATCTATTCACTAGAGCAGAACTTCCCAAAGTGTGCATGAATAAAACTAGGGGATTATAAACCAAGAGCTACTGTACTATCTGGCCATGACATGACCTCCAAAACTTTAAAATCAATTTCCAAAATAAGGAAGCAGAAACTGGTTTTGAAATTTATAAAAGAAATTGTTAAGGGGAAAATCCTGCAGTTGATTCTGAACTCTTAAAATGCATCTTAATAATTTCATAACATTTCATATAGATTTAGCCCATTATATCCATTAAAATGCAGTACCTGGTGTCACAAAGAGTGAGACAATTTCTTAATTAACCACAGTGCTCCTCCTACTTAAAATACCATTGCTCTCCTCTCCCAAAGTGGAAGGGCAAGGCAGGGAGCCTAGAAGTGACTCTCTGAAATTGAGGGAGCAGCTTTATTTTTCTTCATTCATCTTGTCCTTGCCCTTTTGCTTTCAGATACCCAAGTGCAGCACCCATTACTGAGGTCATGCATAAAAAAACCATCAGCAGATACCCAACAATGCACTTCATCACAGGTCATGTACAAATATTTTTCTGAGAATAACTGAGCAGCCCAAGCTGAAAGAATTTGCCTTCCTGATAGCATCAATGACAACAGGACTGATGAGCCTGAAATGCATTATATTATAATATTATTATAGGGAGAGAAAGGATGGTGCACCTTCCTTTGATGACATAATTCAACAAACAGGCTAAAGTCATCAGGAACTGCATAAATTCTGAAATTCAACCTCAAAAAACCAAGGCAGAAATAAACATTTCAATTACCTTTTCCCCAACAAAAAAACCAATGACCTTGTTAGACTCTAAGTAGCTTGGACTTTTGAGTTTCCTGCAGAGTGAGGCCTAATTGGGGCAAGCAGAGTAACAGCTTGGAGGGGAAAATAATCCAAGGCATCTCTGCTTTTCAGACCAAATTCCACTGCAAAACTACTTCCATTTCAGTACACTGAAATAAGATGGCTGACATGCAAAAAAGTTGAAGAATACAAATATATCTTCACTAGGAAATGATGGGTTGCCCTGGACTGGACTGTAGTGACTTCTATTCCTAAGAGAAGAGGTGAAATATTTCTCCTTTCCTTTAACTGGGAAATAGGCTTGAAGAAGAGAATAAAGCAATTTTGACAGTGTTAGAAAATGATGCTCTCTAATCCACACTGATCATGTAAAATATGCATCATCATAAGCCTGTCTTTAAAAATATTCCTAGTAGTTAATGCTTGAAATAATTTAAGTGAGACAGTCTCAGTTTAAGGAGAGGAAAATATTTTAAACCTCTTCAAGATTTTCTTCTAAATAGGATGTGGAGAATGTAACTTCTCTGTTGGGTTGATCTCACATTTAGATCATTTCTCCACTTGCCACAGCAAGTTTAAAATAAAAAAAGTAGGTGCATCTCTAATTTTACAGGTTTAAAATCAGCACGAATTGTCCTTAGCAGAGGTCTGGATAAAAGCTTAAGGTGTTTAAGAGACAAAACTTTAATTAAAGCAAAATGGTGCTATTTCTAATGTTTTTGGACCCCTTTAGAAGTGGGGAAGATCTCACCTGGTGTTTTGAGGAATGCTGTTCTGATCAATTAATACCAAATAACTCAGGTGAAAAGAATGTTTATCAATATGATGGGAACTGAGGAAAAACCAGCTGCCTCACAGAAGGAGTTATCTAATTCTACAGGTTCAAAATTAGTGACCCAAACCAGGTGAGTGAGAAGAGTTGTCCATACCTCCAAGGCAGATTTCTGTACCGTAATTTGGTTGTAGACTCTTGACCCTTCTGGGCAAACAGTCCTCAGTTCCTCTTTATTGAGGGAGAAAAGCTGAGCTCCTGTCAGCACACCGAGGCTGTTCACAGTCCTGGGACACAGCAAGGGAGCAAACAGGAAATCAGCAAAACCACACTGGCCAAGGTTGGCTTCATCCCACACTGCCTTGGCTAGGGCTGCTAAATTCAGAGCAAACTTGGTGCAGCAAGACTACTGAAGTCATCTGGGTGTATAAGTAGATTTTTTGTAGAGGCTAAAATATATATACTATATACAGAATCCATACATATAAAATATATGGATGTTCTGTAGCCCTATAACAACATTGACATATATTTTTATATATGTATTAGGTGCACTTATACACACATATATATGTGTATATCTGTAGATGCATATATGTGTTTATAGATGTATATATGTGTATATATAGATGCATATATATGTGTATAAATCGATGTGTATATATATGTGTACATAAATATGTATATATGTGTACATAAATATGTATATATACCTATATATGTCTATATATACATATATGTCTATATATACATATATGTATGTGTATATATATGCATGCAAAAGATATGTGTTTCTAGATGTATATGTTTATATATGTATATATAGATGTATATATGTGTATATATAGATGCATATATATGTGTATAAATAGATGTGAATACATGTGTATATATACATATATATGCATATATGTGTACATAAATATATATATACATATATATGTATAAATACATATATGTGTCTATATATACATATATGTATGTGTATATGTATATATATGCATGTAAAAGATATGTTTCTAGATGAATATATATGCTTATATATGGATATATAGATGCACACATATGTGTATATATATGTATATATAGGTGTCTATATATACGTGTGTATGTATGTGCATATATGTGTACATATATATGTATAGATGCATATATATTTTTATATATACATATAGGTATATGTATATATATGTAAAAACAAATTATTTTTTCTAAGAGTGCAGTTGACATCTCTTGATCAAGAACTCATCTTGATTTTCAGAAGGCTGCCTGATTTTAACAAATGGTCGGACCACATCCTGGCAGGAAAACAGGTCCTTTTCTATTTAAAGAAGATTTGCTGCATTTGCCCTGGGACTTACACAGGGTTGAATCCCTTGGACTGCAGCCAGGCTTTGACATCCTCGGGGGAGGAGTCGTAGGTGATGTTCACCACGGGGATGTTTGGCCGTGGCACGTGGAATTTCCTCTGGGCAGCGCTCCGGCCGATGGTCAGCCTGTGCACAAGTTCATCCTGCACCTCTTCCATCTGGGATTTCCTGCCTAGAGAGAGAGACATCTCACAGAAATTATTCTCTTTTATCAAAGCCAAGTCATTTCTTCTATGTCACTTTATGTCACTTTAAATTGTCAACTTTTTTTTTTAAATTCATTCATTAGATTTTATTGAATTATTTGCCCATGGAATATTTCAATATTCCCAATCCTCCCTTTGCAAACCAAAGCAAAAATAAACAAACAGAAATCCCCAGACAGAATTCAACTAAGACCCCAGAGAGGAGAGATGCCTGGATGTCACAGAGAGGTGCAGATGGGAATGGAGGGTTATTCATTTGTCATAGTCTGCCTTTTTTTTTTTTTCAAAGAGAATTGAGGGTTTAAAAAAGAAAACAAGAAAATAATGAGGAAGGTTGTAAGACTGCTCACACTGTGGGAAGGTAGCACTTTCCACACACAGTTCTTTAGTTGAAAGTTCAACTTTTTAGTGCAAATCAGCATAGGCAAAAACATTTTACAGCTGCTGACATATATCAACTTATATCTAATGAGCTATTGTAGCAATTGCATTTTTGACAGGGTTTTGAGAAATTTGAATTCACTCCAAGCCTGGAGTGGCTGCTTAGCTGAAACATTGTCACACTTTACATTAAAAAAGGAATAATAAAAAAAAGGGGTAGCTGCTCTCACCAGAGACTCAAAAATTGGGCAAGATTTGTTTATTTATTTTTTAATTTTAAACAAAACTGTAAGAATTCATTATCCCCCAGAACCCATTTGCTGTTCATTAGCAGGCAACAAACTGAAATGCTTTTCAGTCATTTCAACAAGATCAATTATAATGACAGTGAGAATTGCTTAAAATAACTATAAAAATTTCTGTGGACAACTTCACAAAAATAGGTAGAATTCAATAAGGTATAAATAACCTTTTGGGCTCAGAGAAGATGCTGATTCCACACAGTGAAACTCTCTGTGCCATAACACTGGAGCAACTATAAAAATCCTCTGACAAACAACTCCAATTATCTCAAAAATTCTCAGGATTTCCTTGCCAAGATATTTTTAGTGATCTTTATTCAACCTTCTCACTTTGATACACAAAGAGTAACTACACCACCCTCTCAGTGCACCCAGATGGCCAAACCTATTCCTTTTCTCCCATTACACTGACAGGAACAGCTGAAAACAACTCAACTTCAATATGAAAAAAGCCCCTGTAAGATAGAAACATTTTTGCCTTCTCTACTTTCCTTTTAAATTCTCTCAAAACCTCTCCAGGGGTTCTCTCAAAACCTCTCCAGGGATCAATATCTCTAGCCAGTTAAACAAATAAAAACAAGCTTTACATAGGCCTCTAGGATTATTTCTTTAATCACCAGAGCAAAAAGAAGAAAAAATGTTGGTTTAACCATTTCCTTTTTTCTTTTGCAAAAATAGCCTCAGGTTGAAAGTGGAAAAAGCATCTCTACTATGATATTTGAGGCATTCAGGCCCTGTTGTGTGGGGTTTTCTCATCTCCCCCCATCCTGAGTGTGAGTCAGAAGCCCAATGACACGAGCTCAGTGATTTGTGCAAATCTGACAGGGGTTATACAAGGAAAGCCTTTAGGCAGTGTTATCAAATCCTGCACCCGCTGTTTTCCCAAGCAGGAAGAGACACAGAACATTGCTATCTTCCTTCTATTTACACAGATTTTGAAAGACTTATGCTTAATCTAGACCAAGACTGTATCAAGAGACAAATATTTAGCTGTTAGGTAAGAGATCCTTCCCGTTGTTAGATGGGTTATCAGAAATAAGCAGGGTGTGGGGCAGGTTCTGCAGTGTTCTCTGCAGGGCTCAGGTGGGTACTTGGCCAGCAGGTTTCCCATCACTTTTGCAGAGGAACCTCTTCTGTGTGGGTTTTGAGGTGCCTGAAGCTCATTAACTGGGCTGGGGTGAACAGGATCTCCTGTGTGGGACCCACAGCCTCTACAGTAACTCCTACACCTCACACATGCCCTGTACCTGAAGCCAGGATCATGGTCTTCTCATTTTCCATCTAGAATGGATAGAGAAGGCCGTCATGGATTCAAGGACACAGCCATGCTATGGCAAAGTCCTTCCACAGAAATAAAATTATTGTTGTGCATGTGTGGGGGGGAGGGGGGGAAATCACCCTCACTTTCCACATCTTTTGTGTTTATTTATCTGCTTTTATTTAAATAACTCTTTCTTTGGGAAGCAGCAGTGAGGCCTGTTCCTCCAGCCAGGCTGTTCTCCAGTCATGATTTCCAGCCAGACAGCCCATTAGGTGAATATAAGGAAAAGTTCCCAGAGCCTTCCTGAGCTCAGAGTTTAGGCAGGAGCTTGTCCTCCACCAGGCAATGTCACCACAGACCCCACCACAGGATTATTCCCATCCACTGCGGACAGGGGGCAAAGAACCCCTTCCCCAAAAAGGATTATGCTCAGTGCCAGTTTCTGACCTTAGGTGGAAGCAGGATTTGCTGGTAAGGCAGTGAGTATGAAAAGCTGTCAACTCTTGCACTACAAAAAGCTCATTATTTTTACAGCTATTACTTTAAAAGCTGTAGCAAATGCTTGCCTACATGTTTCAGTTATTTCTAAGCCAAGCAATCACACTGCCTAAAGTGCATTTAGGACAGAAATTACTGACTAAACAAGCTTTTCTAACCCTACTTTCTTTCCAGTCAATACCAAGTAGCAGTCACAGCATGCCTCAATTTGGCATATTTATAAGGTGGCCTTAATCAGAATTTCTCAAGGCAGCCACACACTGTTGGATGCACATTCCCAAGTTTTTCCAGCTATGGAGGTATGGAACATGTTCCTGTGTCCTCCTGGGACAAGGACACCAAAGTCTGCTCCATGCTAGTTGCTGCTGTTTTGACCAAGCCAACTGTAAAGTAACTCTACAAAACTATTACAATGTGGTTCCTGTGTATGACCCAGACCTGCAAGTGTTCTTGAAGCACTGAATACATGTTTCAGAATGGTGCAAACAACCTAGAAATATGGATGATCATGAATTGAGGTGTGAAAACAACGTACCTGATTTTACAAGCAATTTAGGTTGTAATGTGGCAGTGGGTTCAGGTAGAAAAGCTCCATTAGCCAGCATATCAGCATGGGCATTCCAGTGTTAAAAACACTGACTAGATATCCCTGGCATGGGAAATTTGGGTTAGATTTTAGAAAAAAATTTTTTACTAAAAGGGTGATAAAGTTCTGGAATGGCCTGCACAGGGAGGTGGTGGAGTCCCCATCCCTGGGTGTGTTTAACAAAGCCTGGATCTGGCATTGGGTGCCAGGGTTCAGTTGAGATGTTGGGGCTGGGCTGGACTCAATGATCTTGAAGGTCTTTTCCAACCTGGTTATTCTGGGAATTCTGTGATTTAGGATGGGACAAGTGTAAAGTGTTTTTCCCTAATTGCCATTATGGTAATTATAACAAGGGTGGTGCTCAGTGCCATGGTTTAGTTGAGGTGCTAGGGCATGGATTGTACTCAATGATCTTAAAGATCTTAAAGGTCTTAAAAGTCTCTTCCAACCTGGTCATTCTGGGAATTCTGTGATTTAGGATGGGACAAGTCTTAAGTGTTTTTCCCTTACTACCATTATGGTAATTATAACGATGGTCAGAACACACATCCATAGCAAACCCGTATTCTAAACATAAAGTTAAACCCAAATTTTTCCACCAAGATTCATCTGAAACACAACTTTAGGGGACTTCAGAACTAAGCCAAGCACACAGAAACAGGATGAAAGCCTTTTATCTTCTATCCTAGGGCACACTTACGATCCACGGGGATCTGCTTCTGCCGTTGCGTGTCGCGGGCCACGCTGCCGCCGCTGTCGCTGGAGGTGCTGCTCTGGCGGCTGACGGCGGCCGGCGCCTTGGGCACGGGCACTGGGATGGGAGCTGGGGCACTGGGGGGCAGGGGGACGGGCACGGGGACGGGCACGGGGACAGGAGCGGGCGTGGGCGGCGGCGAGGGCGTGGCGGGGGCCGGCTCCGGCTGCTTCGCGACATAGTCCGTCCTCTGCTTCTGCAGGAGGCACAAGGGATCAGTCAGGAAACAACATCTGGGCAACACGTCAGGCAAACCCAGATTTTCCACCAAATGGTGCCTTCAATTCCACTAAGGCACCTCACTTGTCACGTATCATTCCAAACTTTGCCAAAAGTTGATCTGACATCAAAGTTTGGCATCGGTTTCTGTTGTGTTGTGAAGGTCCCTGGGATGAGGTGAGAGATAAGAATTTGATTCTGTGTTCTCAGAAGGCTGATTTATTATATTAAAAGAAAATTATGTACTAAATTATGTACTATATACTAAAACTATACTACTAAAAGATACATCAGAAGGCTAGAAAAGAATGATAATGAAAACCCATGACTGACTCAGAAAGTCTGACACAGCAGGCTGTGATTGGCCATTAATTAAAAACAATTCACATGTTTGGATAAACAATCTCCAGACCACATTCCAGAGGAGCAAAGCATGGAGAAGCTGAGGCTTCTCATCTTCCCAGGAGAAGAAATCCTGGCGAAGGGATTTTTCATAAAATATCACAGTAACAAGTTTCTCTGCTGGACACAAGACTCACAGCAAGGAAATCCTCTGAAACATGTTTCTTTCTTTCAAAGAGATGAATTCTATGAATGAAATTGTTTTCAAATCTCAAATTCCTAGTAACTGACATGTTTTAAAGCTTTCAAAACTTTTGACTTATCGAATTTTATCAGTGAAAAAATGTATATTTTAGACATGTTATTAAAAAAAAAAACCTGAACAATGAACACGTCCAGCCACACCTAAACGGAACTGATGTTTTCATTTATAAATGTCACTAAGGGTAGCATAATGCATTGGTTTTTGAACTGCAGACAGCATTTAAGAGGTTCCTGCTCCTCCTATCCATTAATCTCTGCCTTTTCAGCTATTGGCATGATCACTACAAGCCATCTCAAGGCAATATTCTGATTTAAAAATAAGCCCCACACTGCACAATTCTTGGAACAGGGCTGTCATTTCTTTCTCCCCCACTTCATGCACGTTCTATCAACATGTAAGCTATCATGCTGCTAATAACTAACTAGCAGATGTCTCAAGAATAACTTGGGAAGTTATTTCTTCTTTGCCTTTAGAAGGGGACCAGTTACATAAGAACACCTGTATTTTTCCCAGAGCAATCATAAAGACAGACAAATCCAAAAGCCATCTATGCTACCCCTTTCTCTCAGGCAGTTCAAACTCCATATCTCACTGTTTAACAGTGTTCCCTCTCTACAATTTTGGATTAACACAGCTTGAATGTTCAATATTAAAGTTTGTTTGCTCAATAAAGATGCCTCATCTCGTAGTCATGAGAATCTGCTTACTTTGGTATGAAGAGAGATGAATGCATTCTCCAGATTCATTGCTCCTTCCTGAAATACCTTTCCCTATTCCCTTGGAGGCAGAGAGTTTTATAGCAGATCAAGCAGGGAAATATTTGTAGAAGCCATAAGTTAGAATTTGAGCAGCAGATCACTGCCCTGACAACAATCAAACTTTCCTTAAATGTCAGCAAGTGCCCTTGTACAGGAATCCCCAGCTCAGAGAAGTCCAGCTGATGGACAAGGATTTATCAGTGAGTGTAAACCATTTCAGCAATACTGATTTACACCAGCAGAAAATTTATCTCATCGGCTTCTCTGGCCAATCAATTAAGCCTAAGAAATCACTTTCCTTGGATGATTTTTCACCTAAATCACAATACTCAGCTAATAAATCAAGCATATATCCCTGCAAAACATCTCTGGTTAAAGTCTTTTGTTTGTTTGTTTGTTTATATCTCAGCATTTAGTTGCTAAAGGCCTCCATCTTAACTGCTTTGTGCAATGTGGGGAGATTTTAAAAAAATCACGATTGACTTTTCTGTATTTCAATGCTACAATGTTAAGAAAATGAATGCTTCTTTAATTGTCAAATGACAAGGAAAGTGAAATGCATAATATAAAAGTGAACAAGCAGAATAAATATATTTATGAAACTTGCCCTTTGGTGGAAAGAGAGTGCCCCACTAGGTGTACAGCAAATACACCATAATTTATTATATATAGATGTACTGTGATAGACTCAAAAACCTTATCAAAGAATTTATAAATTTCACAGCTACTAAAAGGTTCCAATGATATTCATATCCTTTTATCTTGTTGACAGATTCCAATTACTAGACTGTTATCTCCAAAATGTACATTTTCATGTGTGTTTTGACCTTCTTAAAAAAACACAATGAAAAAGTAAAATTTTCATGATAGAGAGGATTTGTTACGAGCCAAGACATCCACTGCACACTGCCACAATCATAACCCAGAAAAAGAGAGAGCTAAAAACCTCCATGTAACTTTCAATGAGTGCTACTGGAGGAGCTGCAAAAACATGTTGTACTGCAATCATCAGCCTCATCAAAACAACTTGCTGCAGTGAAAACAAAAATTAATCTGGAAGCGTCACTCAAACTCTAAATTTACAAATGCAACCACATTAAAATACACTTTGCATTTTGCTAAACAGTGCCCAAAAACCAATTATACATTTGAATCCCATTTAATGCTTCTTTTTTTAATGCTTCTTTATTTAACTCCAGATCTTTTGAGGACATCCACACATTCATCCCGTCACTTCTATTCACTGCTATAAAAAGAAGCATGCACTATGGAATTTGGTGACTAAATAGTCCAAGAGGGGAAATTTTGAGATTCAATATCAGAAGAGTAATTCAGTTACCTCTGAAAGCTCTCCCAGTAATTGCTGTGAGGAAAATGGAGTAAATCACATCAAATAGTATTGTTAGAAAGGTGAAAAGTAACTGTCTCACACATCGCTCCTGAAATTCCATACACATTAGCAATTTAAACCAAAGGAACATTAGTCTTAGTAATTACCTCTTCTTAATCACTAGGAAACTAATAGTTATTCTAATATTCTTTTCTTGAATAGGGAACAGAGTGCTGGCTACAAAAGACACACATGTGACGCCATATAAGTAATCAGCTCTTTTAAGAGCACATACCCAGACAGAAACAGACTTAATAGAAAAAAAAAGTCAAGGAAAATAGTGCCAAAAGATTAAAGATTGTCAGGTGAATGTAAAGAACTCTTGTAACTGGAGAAAAATTAGAGTTATGTTACAGCAGGTATTAAAAAAGTGCTTTATTTTTTTAGCTCAAGAAATGTTGTCTAGCTCAGCAAATGAGATGAAGGTGCTGCTCACAGAAGGGTTTGGGTTGGGAGGGATCTGATGGCTCCATCTAATTCCAACCCCCTGCCATAGGCAGGGACAATTTCCACTATCCCAGATTGCTCAAACACCCATCCAACCTGGTATTGAACACTTCTAGGGATGGAGCATCCAAAACTTTTCTAGGTACTCTGTGCCAGGGCCTCACTACCCCCAGAGTAAAGAATTTCTTCCCAATATCCAATCCACACCTGTCCTTGTTAAAATTAAAGCCATTATCCTCTGTTTTGTCACTCCATGTAAAAGTCCCTCTCCAGGTCTCTTGCTGGCCCCCTTGAGGTATTGCCAGGCCTTTGGAAAGTTGAGCTGAATGATCCTAACTCTCTCAGCCTTTCCTCACAGGAAGGTGTTTCACCCCTCTGATCACCTCAATTCACGTAAATTGGAACAAATTTAAACTGTTTGGAATGGTGATGGTACACACACACTCATTAAAAATCTGGATATATCATGAAAGATTATTGGGACTAAATTTTGTTTTCTTATTTCTTGCCAGAAAAAATCTTTGTTTTTACAGGGGAAAAAAATTAAGTCCCAAAGCTGTTTTCAACACGCTATAGGCTGCATCTGGTGAAAAAATCAAGGTTCAGTATGATTCAATCTATTTTGAAGGGAAGCAAAATAATAAGTTTGAGTAAAAATGCTAATGGTTCCAACCCTAATTCTTGATCAGTGTAAAAGACTGGGAACAATATATTTTCAAATATATTTTGGCATTAAAAAAAGGGAATATACTTATAAATTATGGGAAAAACAGACAAAGAGGCATTGGAAACAACCAAAACCAGTGGGAAATGTTCTCATTAAGTTAACACAGACACAGAGCTCTCAGTTTGCTCTCTTTCTGAAGGTTTCAGTGCCATATTCCTGTTTGCACAGTGACACCAGCCCACCAAGAGGGCTGCAGAGCATTCAGCCTCAGCTTTGTCAATAGCTCTGAGGTTTGGATCCTGTCCTGGGGCTCCACTGAAGGGACAAGAGAGAACCAAACACTCATCTTCAGCCAAAAGGGCCAGTGAGCTACCCAAGACCGGGAGAGGAAATTTCAAGCAGGGTCTTTTGCCAGAGTTTACTTTGGTGGATTCAGCTATTGTGCAAACAGCTGCCTACTAAAATGCCATTAAAATCCCTAAGCTGTTCTTTGCAGGGTATACCACATTTGTGATTTTACTGAATTGACAGGAAATATAGGCAGAATTTACTTATTCAAATTGTTATTAGGTAGGATTTGTCCCCAGTTCTAAAAAAAAAAAAAAAGAAAAAAGAAAAACTGCACCTTATTAAACATTTACTCTCTGCCTAAAGGATTTTGTACACATCACTGATAACATAACTGTCTCACCTCCAAAAAGGTGCCAGGAGATTAATTAACACACCGACCAAGATATACAATTCTATCCTAATTATGTTCTTCAAACTTCATTTTCAAGAGCGTTAAAACAAAGTTAATAAAACAGAGAGAAAATAGGAAATACTGTGATGAATTATTTCATAGGTTCACCAGCAATACTTTTACAAAATAAGAAATCTGAGTGCTTGGGAAACACTCTATGTCCATATATAATAGGATAGTGAAATACCAGTGATGGCTCACAATAAAATTAACAGATTAAATGAGCAACATCCCAAAAATCTCTGATAAACAATAATTAACAATAGTAGAAAATAGAAGAATTTAGCAAAATGCTCTCCTAAAAGTGAAAGAGTACCAAACAAGCAAAAATACTTTTTCCTGGAACTCATTCAACTGACCAGAAGACAAGCAGTGTTACAGCCTCTGACTCACAAAGATAATTAAATAATTGGGGTATTGCTGGCAATGTCCTGCAAGTATCACCTCAGTGCTCTCAAGTGACTTTTTGGGACCTGGCTCCTGAAAGCAATTGAGTGAAAAATCAGGATTTAAAGCAATGTGTGGCCTTAGATATCACCAGGCAGGGGGACAGAGTGAGAGCTAAAAAAACCTTTACAGCTCTGAGAATAATTGTGATAATGAGGTATCCATCTCTCAGAGAAGGGGTGTCTGTAGCACAATCAAGTGAAAAAATCCTCTTTTTCAATGGAATCCTTAATTCCTCCTAACAATCTATGAACACCCTTTGGAGAGCAGTGCACTGAAGGTTATTAGTCTGTAAAGGAAGACACTGCCTTTGTTTATAACACTTATCTGCAGCTGGCCACAGCAGCCAGGGCACTGTAAAAGTGACTTTTTAAAAGCTGAATATGACCCGGGAGAGCAGCAAAAGCTGCACAGCACCAGGCACTGCTCTGGCAAAAGTGCTGATAGGAACCACTCTGATTTCCTGCTCTTCCCACAAGTTCTCCTGTCTGACTTTGGGCAAGGCGTTGATTTATTTAATTATTAAATCAGTTCTCCCTAAAAACAGCAGCAATGCCTCATAGTGCTGTTGTGAAAATAAATGGAGTTATGCAAACACTTCCCAAGTGAACCATGTGTCCATCACAGGAAAACAGACAAATGAGAGTGCTCACGAGTGCTAAAATTATAATAATCACCACCAAGTTTAAACAGCATTACTGACATGTCTTGGTAAAGACTTCATTTATCCTGTGCAATTACATTCATAAATAATTTCACAGTAGTTCAAGCTCACATTTGAATATGATCAAGCCGTAGGATAACCTGCCAGAGGGCAAAGTAACAAACTTATCTTAAACAGTGTTCCCTGACCCTGATTTTCATAGGTCCATGGAGAATGCTTTGTGGAAATGATTATTTTATTCTATGCCATGTCTTGTCATTATTTAAGAGAACTTCAAACCCTGCAGTGCATTACAGAAGAATAATGTGAGAACCTCTACTCAAAACTGTACTCAGCCTGCTCAAGACTTGATGGCAAATTCCAAACACACAAAATAACATGCACAGGAAGAAAGGAAAAAAAAAATCTTTAAATCAGGATTTGAAAAGCACTCTGGATGCATGCTTCACTTCACAGACAGGCAAATCCACAACCAATGCAGAATGAGCCAAGATGTTACAGGCAAACAATTTGGGATGGGAAGCTCAGAAATTGTCTGATTCAAGCCCACCAAGGTCAAGGCAGGTCTATTACATTATTTTGCAAAACATTTTGGCATTTCTTGGTTTTCAGTCATCAACTGGAAGGTGCAGACACAACAATTTAGATGGGATTAAATTATTAAACTTCAAGCTTCAACAGACAATTGGTTTAAAATTCTGGTTTAGAGGCAGGCCTGGAATTTCTGCTTAATTCAAACTTGTTTGCCTAAACTTTCAAAATCATTAGGGGAAAAAAAGTGGAAAGAAAGAGGTCTTAAAAAATAGAACAACTTCTTTTAGCAGCCTCTAACCCCCTTAAAATTTTATCTAAAAATACATATAACAACTTTATCCTATATATCCTTACTTGAGTGGATAATTGTGCTGATGTAAGAATTTTTTTAAGTAATTCTCTCTAATTCTGTTCAACATATAAAAGAAATAACAGCAACAACAATATTAGTTCCACACCACTACATGAAAGAAAGAAAATTAAAATGAGGTCAGGATAATAGAGTGCTATTGATGCACAGACATAGTAATTGAAAAATATCTGCTTTGTGAATTCAAAAGCAAATATACCTCCTTTTTATGACTCCAAAATTACAATAATTAAATAAATTCAGGACTGGGATAGAGACAGACAAAGACAGAAAATAAAAGGAAAAGCTGGAGCTCACTCTTCTAGGAAAAACAAAGATGACCCTACCTTAAATAATTCAAACTCCTTCTTTGGCATCAACAGCTATCAATTCACAAAGGATATTTGCAATTAAAATAAATGCATACACATCCACTAGGACTGAAGTTACCACCTCTAAGCAAATAAGCAGGTAAAAAAAAAAGCCCTGAGATAAAACATTTTTGCAGTATCTCTATCAACTGTATTCTCTGTGAAATACACACATCACTGTTGGAACACTGGATGCTGAGAATTTTAAACTTTCTGTGCTGACAGACACTGTCCCCCAGGAGAGCACTGCATTTGACCTGAGGCTGTGGAGAAAGCTTCCAAAATTGATGGATAACACTGGGATTATGGGTGTGGAATTTGAATAGAAGTGTGTAATATCACATGGTCGAAAACTCAGAGTTTAAGGGCAGCAATACATATAAATCAAGATGGAGGTTCTAGGGCGGAGGCTGGTCCTTCTTCTTCTCCTTCCTATTTTCCTTCTTCTCCACGGGTTTGGGTGATTTTGTGCAATTGGATAAAAAAGTCCACATTGCAGTAAGGGGTGGTTGGTTATTGGGTTAAAAGTGAAAATAATTTAGGTGGCATTTTTTAATTGGACAGTTTATCCCTAAAAGGCCTTGTGAAGAGAGAGATAGGGCTCCATTTTTTAGTTTGTTAGAACGAAGTGCTGTAGAACTCAGGGTTTGTGACACTGTGACATGGATAAGAACTGATAAACATCTGAGTCCAAACTAGAAATTCAGTCTCACACATTTAATCCCAGCCCTGGCAAAAAAGAAGCAAAGACTCCCCACATCACCTTCAGCCCCTCCAATAAATGTAGATGTTTTGTGCACACAGTGACACTTCCATTGGAGGTTTTTCCCCAGCATGGACAGTACCTGGATGGTGCGGGTGTAGGCAGGCTCCGGCCATCCCTGGCCGCCTTCCGTGTTCCTCAGAGGGTCCAAAATGTTGTTTGGCACAAAGCCTGTGCTGCCACTTTTGTTCTGAACCTTCCACCACTGCTTTCTGTCATCCAGGATCTGAAATGATTTGGTGAATTAATTGCACGTCTTTTCTGACTTTCCCCCTGCCTGTGCTTAGGCTGTGAATCATTTCAAAACAAAACCATGGCTTTGCCAGTTTCTGTGTCTGCCAGCAGATCTTGCACAGATGTATCCCTGAGAAACCCCTGGATCTTCCCTGATTCCCACCATCATTAACCCTGCATGGTTCTACATTTCAAAATGGGGCTCTCAAGAAAGAATATGTAAGTGTGTAATGGAGTTCTGTAAAACTCAGGAATGTGCTGGATCAGACAGTGGAACAAAACACAAACACTTGCACAGAGATGCTGCCATCTCCACAACCCACATGCTGTTGACAAAAGGAATAAATAATCACTAATAATCCAAGTAAAGGCAGCTCTGGGGGAGCACAAATTTGGAGACACAACACTTCTTAGTAAACAGGGAATGGGAGCAGGATGGCCTGGAGCAGTCAGAAGTCTCAATGCCTGCCCCACACTCTCACACTCAGCATTTTCTCTCTTTGTTGCTCCCTCCCTGCCAAATGTATCTCACTTTTCTGGTGCCACATCCTCTTGGAAAGAACACTCCTTCACTATGCTCTGTGTGTACACAAATAGTTATTTAAACACCACTTATATTTAAAAGCAACACTGGAGAAGGTGGAAGGAACACACAAATGTATTTCGAGCACGGATCTCGACAGCACCCCTTCCTAAGTCAGCAAAATTGATGCAAAACAAATTAACAACTTTCCATACTGAGACAGACAGGTCAAACACATTGAAGCAAACATTAAGGAAAGCCACAGTGTCCACAGGAAAGGCATCCTCAGCCTTGAGTAGCACCAGAAATTTGTGTGTTGTCTTTGCAAACAAAATTACCTCCACAATCTCCTCTTTCATGACAGAAAGCTCACTGTTGTTTCTTGCCACGAATTCATACTTGCATTTGGCATATTTCTTGCTCTGTGCTTTATTGTGTGCTTCATAGTTTCTGCAAAGCAAAGATCAGGCTATTGTTCACTGAGACAGTCAAGCAACTAAATACACAAAATGCCCTCTTTGAATAACCTGCAAAACATTTTTTAAAACAAAAACCTCTCAGCCGTAATGTGATGCTGCCGCTACCTATTCATAATACACTGATATAAGTGCCAAAAAAAAAGTACAAATAAACAAAATAAAGAGATGGCTGAAATACACAGACCTCAAGAACTGCTAATCTTTATTAGCTTACAGCTTGCAAGATGTATGATAACAACCTAGATTAGCAGGTGCTATTGTTTCAAAATAAACATGTACTCTATATTTAGTTTGTTTTCCTACAGAAGGTTAAACAGCCATTTACTATATAAACAAATGACTATACTTAGGTTATAATTGATAGCTTGGGCTTTGTATGAAATTGTCTTTCTAGTGTTCATCACAGATTGTTTCAAATATATAATAGATGAATAAATTATTGCCATCAATCCTAATGGAGTTAAACTCTAAAAAATGTTCACCTATTGTAGATCAGTTTTCTTAATTGACCATAAGATGCCATCAAGTCTAGCAACTTCAAGTTACTTTATCAATTAAGAATGAGAAATAACTTCTTACACACAGGATTCATTGTAGAACAAGGCACATCACAGTAAGCTCTGTATCTGTCTTTCCATGAGGAAAACCTATCCAGAGTGCCTATGGCTATGGAGCTACTGCTTTCTTTGACATAACACTTTTTCAATTGACAAGTCCCCAGCCCACTCCAAACAGGTCCAGAAACCCCCCAGTAACTTTAGACATTTGCACACTCTGTACACTTGCACAGTCCAGTAACTTTATACACTTGCTGCAAATTACACCAACAACATAAACCCATACTGCACAATAAAGAAATGAAACAAACAAAAAAAAAACACCCACATGAATAGACAAATAAATAAATCCAAACAGCTAATTAAAACATGAAGCTTGAAATGCTGGGTACAAGGTCACAGCCCGGGGATGTGAGCATCAGTGCTGTTTGCTGCTGCTGCTGCTGTGTAACTCTGGGTTCCAGGTGTGCCTGAGCAATCCAGCAGCTACCTGGCTCCTGCATGGCTGTGGAGAACTGTCTCACTTGACTTGAAGAGCAGAACCAAGGAAAATCATATTTAGATTGAAAGATTATTTTCAAAAGAAAGAGAAAACACTCAGAGTATTTAAGGACAGAGTGAAAAGCAGGGGATGACCCCCAGCCTGCAGAATAGCTTTTATGAGGCTGAACAATGTGTAATACCAATTTTTCCTGCTACCCCCCTAAAATTAATATAATTTTGATTTTCTTTTTCAGAGATGTGACTAATGCAGCTCTGGCAGCACTTTTACTTACAGGCAGCCTTTACAAAATCATTACAATATTCTACAATATTCTATTCTATTAGTGTCTTCATATTTTGTCCACACCTAACTATCCTGATTACTTCAAAAATGTAATTCAGGAAGAATTTTTAAAAATGTCCACATTTTAGTTGTACTGGACTCAGCAACATGCCCAGGACATGGGCCAGATAATGGGTGAATGCTTCTGAAGAGAGCTAAATTCTTCAAGCCCAGCCTAATGAGCCAGTTTCCTCTGGGCACAAATATTCTGATCACTTCCCTCCATCATCCTCCTCTTTGTTTCTCACTGCCTAGCAGATATACCATAATTTCAGGCCTCAGCTCTTCACACTCATTTCCCTTTACTGCCACAAAGGAGGCTTGGATAACTCTTTCTGTTCCAGACACCCTGATATCATCAACAGCTCAATGCAGTAAGACTTTCTCTAAAACTGGAGTGGAGGCAAGAACCTTTCCATGGAATATTATTACTCTGGAAGGGCAAATCAGGTCTTACCCCATTACAGGTAAGAGAAATGAATTTAGAGTGCAGATCATCTAGATTTCAAAATAAACGGTCCCGAGACAAGATTGCAAAAGGCAATCAAGTTTGAGAAAACAATTAAGAGATGACTACTCTGCTGCTGTTGCCATGAAGAATAAATCCAAAGTTCAGAGAAATTCAGAGAAATTGATTGTGTCTTCAACCTGCACAACATTGCACACTGCACACCACATGGGAATTGGCTTGCGTGCAGATTAAAAAAAGGATCTTTTAGCACATGGCTCAAAACTAGGGATTCTGAAAGGGTTTTCATGAAAAGAGTTTTTTATATATATATATATATATTGAGGATGATTTAAGCAGCAAGTTGACCCCAAAATTTACTTAAAAAAAAAGCTTAAACATCTTCCATGGCTCATAAAACAAAATATTTTTCATATAGTATATATGGAATATGGTTTGGTACAGGAGAGCAATTCCAATGCTTCTTTACTGATGTGCCTCCACAGTTTGTGCTGGTATAAATTCTCCCCAGAGGCAAGGCCAAGGATCACTGCATATCATCCTGTCAAGTTATTCTGTTTTAGGATAAAATGAAGGGGGTGAAAGAGGATGTGCAAAAAGACACTGTTTTCTATGCAAACATTTCAGAGTATTTTCTGTAAGATTTGAAAGAGGATGGAAGAGACAAGGTGTCATTGTTCTGAAAGTGGGTATTTATACACCAGCCCAGAAAACAAAAAGCAGGAGATGATGGAACACTAAGTGAGCAGCTAAGAAAATCAAACAATCAGTCAAACCAAGGACAGGTGAATCTCAGAGCAGACTTGTCATTCTTTGTAATTCTGAAAAGAGCAAAGAGTGTATTTAAACATGAAACAAATCGGAACTAAAATTTGAACCGAAGTGGGAGGATTCTGTGCTTGCAGTTTGGGTTGGAACTCCACTGTATCATTTTTGACAAAAGCAGCAATTTAACATCACAGATAACCAGGACATCTCATAGAAATCATACAAAAAGAGTCCAAAAGACACACTTCAGGTAAGGAAAAGCACTGCTAAACAGAATCCCTTCCCCAGCAGACACAACGCCACGACCAGAGGCAGTCACAGACCCCGCCACCCCAAGAGCCAAGAAGTGGGGACAGTTTTCCACAGCACCACGGGGCAGGGTTACCTATCTACATGTCGGCTAACAGTTTGCTTAAAGGCAGCCACAGCTGCCCCCGGGTCCAGCAGAGGCCCTCTCTTGTACATCGTGTTACTGAATGCATACCCATCCGCCGGGGGGTAGTCGGGAACGCCAGGAGGCTGCAAGACACAAAGGGAACAAAAAAAGGATGGATTAATATGGATTAATGCCACCCTCCCCTGAGCTCCATCCAGCCCCACCAGGGGCCCTGCCAGCCTTCCCCCATGTCACCATCAGATTTTCTGAAAAATCCTCTTTCCCCAGGATTTTCTCCTGGGAAACTGAGAAGCCTCCGAGAAAAATGAAAGCAATAATTATCTCATTTGCTTCTCCTGTGTTTTGCTGCTTTGGAATGTGGTTCAGACATTGTTTACCAACTGGTCATTGTTTGATTGGTTTCATGTGAATTGTTTTAGCTTAATGACCCAATCATGGTCAGGCTGTGTTGGGACTCTGGAAGGAGTCACAAGTTTTTCATTATCATTCTTGTTAAGCCTTCTGTCTGTCCTTTCTCTATTCTTTAGTACAGTTTAGTTTAGTATAGCTAGAATAGAATAGAATAGAATAGAATAGAACAGAATAGAATAATAAATTAGCCTTCTAAGAACATGGAATCAGATTCATTCATTTCCTCCTTCGTCCTGTTGACCCAGCAAATACCACACCCCCATCCTCAGGTGCTCACAGTTCTGCCATGAAAAGTTAATAACTTCTGCGTTTCAAGTTGGTAAACGTGGAGATCAAAAGGATGAGAATAAAAGAATTTCTATCCCGAGTCATGCCATTGCATTAATATTGTAGTGTATGCTCTGGAGAAAAACAGATCTCTGGGGCGAGAGCTGCGTCATCTCTCAGCTGTCACCACAGCAACACAACTTATAAACAATGGCTGAGCTGCTTTAAAATACCCTGCACAGAAAAACTGCTCTGAGCTTCTGTTCTGGATGTACAACTCAAGCCACAAAGCTCTAGGCCAGCCAACAGTAAGTGTGTGAAATGAATGAAGGAAAATCATCACTCTATTGCAAGAGATCATTCATGTCACACCCTCACTGAATATGTCTATAGTCCATGAAAAAATGCAAAAAATGAGTAATAGTTAATATCATTATGGATTTTAATTAGGGAAAATAATCATACTTTATCACAAGCACATATGTGATGTGATACACATTTCTGCAGTTACTTACCTCACTGGATAGTCTTTTCATCTCTTGCTTCCTCTGTTGCTCTGCCACGTTTGCCACAGACTCAGCCAAATGGTTGAGATCCTGCTCCTTTGGAGCTCCCATGAAGTTCAGCAAAGGAGGCTCCCAACCATTCCTGAAACGGGGCACGTACGGGGGGATGAAATGGTCTTTTGGCCATTCAGCTCTGTGGGAAAAGCAAATCAGAAATCTGTGTCAAGGGTCACACAAATGCTGGTTTAATAAGGTCCAATTTATAGAAATTGAAGTGCTTCAGAATTTTTATTAGCATAGAAGAGAGGCTGGGATTGCAGTAGAGGCAGAATCATGCTAGAACAGGGAGGATCAGCAGAACACATTTATTTACCTCAGCTATCCTCCCTGCAGTGCCCTGCAGAGTTTGCTGCTTCTATAAGGACACATCAGTGCTAAAACACAGCAAACTTCTGCCTTACAGCAAAGATGGGTAGTAGAAGAATCAATCAAAACAAATCTAGGACTTGTTTTAATGGTGAAACATGGGGGGAAATATTGCAATGCTCTATTTGTGTGAAAACACCAACAGAAGACTGCAGAGAAGTGGCCACCTTTGTAAGAAAATCTGAAAACAGGTAAAGAACATGGAAGCCTAGGGGGCCTAGCTACACCAAAACCAAAAAAACAAACAATAGATTTACAGACATAAACCCCACATGCTCCAGGACACAAGAATTATCATCACATTGGCTGTTTTATGGTCCAGATTGATCTTTATAAAATGCTGTGCTACTTTTCACAGTTCCAGTAGCATTCTCTGTTGCAATACCAAACACCTAAATTAATGTTTTCCTGCTCTGCCTTTGCTCCACACATTACACTCTGTCCTACAATATAAAGTTAACACTCTGTCCCACAACATAAAGTTAACACTCTGTCCCACAATATAAATTGCTGCGTCTTTCAGAGTAAAGCAGGAACAGGAATGTACCTAACAGTCTTTTAACAGGCTCATTGCTGACACTGCCCAAAATCAAGAGACAAAGGTGCCAGTCACATGAGCAGTCAGCATTTCCCAGCCTTTTAGGGCTGGTCAGTAATCCCTGATTTTATCATTCCCCTCTCCTGCCACATCTCACCCCAGGGTACCTCTGGATGCTGAGATCAATCTCACCATCAATTCCAATCTGCGCAGACCAGCCAACTACATTAAGTGCTTCATTCTTCATTATCAAACACCAGCCATTTCTCTTTCCATTTCACTTTTTTCAGGGTGGACTAAACAAATGGAGTAATTCCCAAGACAAGGAACCCATTGTTTTCCCAGTGATCCATTTTCCCTGCATGGGACTCCAATGCTATGAGGCCATTTCCACTCCTCCCATGCAGCATTCCTTACAATCTACAGCTTTCAATCGACCAAATAATTAATAAAATAATTAAGAAAACCAAAATCCATCTGGTAGACATTTGTGTTCCAATTTGAAATTCAAGAGCAAGGATGAAAAGACACAAAAAACATTTCCAGCCCAAGTAATTGCATACTTCATCATCATCAAATGTACTTATGTACCACAGATTACAGAGTCAAAATGAACTTTGTTAATTTAAGTTTCTTCTTTTGCATGTTCAATTCGCTGAATTTCAAACTACAGGATTACTTTGAACCCAACAAATAAGAAGTTAACTTCTATTTCTTCAACTAAAGAAGTTAACTTTCAACTGAGATAAATCATAACAGTGAATACATTAAATGCAATGTATAAGGTATGCACATGTGGCACAGTTCAGTCAATAAACATTTTTTTATAATTACAAACATATTTACAGCATTATGATGCATTTCAAGAACTAAAGACATTTCAAATTTTTACCTTTTAATAATTATTGGAAATTGAAAACAGACATTTGTAGCTATTATTTAATATTTTCTCACTCTTTATTGCATATTCAAATTGTTTTTTAATGAAGTCCAGATAGATGGGTTGGAAAACTAACGGTGAAAAACAATTGGAAACATGCAAGGAACAGTTCAGAAAAAGATACTCCAGAAGGTTATGTCAAGAGGTTCTGGATACCACTGACCAAAAAAACAAAAAAAAAAAAATTCTCTCTGCATTTTGTCTCTCCTTGAGATCCCAAATCCCAGCAAAGCTAAAGAGTTCCTTTCCAAAACCCTCAAAGAACAGATTTCCAGAGTCCAAATCCTAACAAAGTAATATAGAATTTATTGGGGCTGGGTAACCTGGTTAAGACCATGTCGATAAACTTGCAGAGAAAATTCAGAGAAAATTTTAAAAAATCAGAAAAAATCTAAAAAAATCCTAAAAAATTTAGAAAAAAAATTCTAAAAAACCTGAAGATTCTCTAAAACCTGAGGATTTTTTCTCACCTGGCTTTGGTCCATGAATCCCCCAGGGACATCCACAGCTGTCCCTCCTCGCTGGTGACGGTGTACCTCAGGAAGTCTATGGTGTCTTTTGTCAGCAGGGGACTGAGCACTGTGCTGGCAAGCTCTGGCCCTCCTGTTGTCTGCACCACCTAAATCCAAGGAATAAATAATGCCAGGAACACACATGTTGTCAGTAAGGAGGTGACTGTGAATTTATGTTACCTACAGTGCTGCTAGAAAACAGTCATTACTCATAAAAACATCCCCCAGAAGTAAAAACCCCTCTGAGAATCTAACAGTGTGTCTTGATGTCACATAAATTAAATAAAGTATTTATTGCTGGAGAGCTGTTGTTCTGTTCACCAACCATTTTTTGTTCAGACCCACTCTGGATAATGTTATCTTTGCTTTACTTATCAAAGCCTCACATATTTCCATTAAATATGCTTCTAACTCTCCTCCTGCATTATGTAGAGAGCCTAAACTTTTTATTGCTAGTTAAAAATTATAATGACAAAGTGTAACACAAAGCTAAAGATTAATTAAATAAATACATCTAATAGAAGGGAAAATATGCAGAAAAGGATATAAATTATTTTCTAAAGAAAGCATCATCCTGAGATACAAACATTTCTCCTTACTTATTGTCCAAGGACACAACATTTCAATCTTGTTATCATTGAAAAAGTTACAGAGCATATAAATACAAGAGTTCTGAAGGGAAACACTTAGAAAACTGTAAAACCTTACCATATGTAGTGGGGTAAAGAGAAAATGGACCAGATCAGCTGCACTAGGATTCTGGATATGGAACTTCAACTTGGCCTGTAAGAGTCAAACAAATAGTACATTTTAAGAAACATTTGATTATTAAGACAATGAATACTTCACATAAGAATGGCCATGGTCCTCCTAAGCCCAGTGCTTGGCCTGCAACAAGTGCAAGTGCTCATCCATCCCACTGCTCCTGACTCCATGCATATTTTAGCACCTATTGTGCAAAACAAGAAGTTCCACAACCAAATGACATGTTTTGTGAAGAAGCATCTCCTTTGGAAATCTGACACCTCTTACTTTCATTAGTATTCTGCAAACTCTCCAAATAACACTAAATTGTCCTTCTCAGCTCACTTTTTCTATCAATGCTCATAACCATTCATAGACTTATTACATTGTTCCTGAATCTGGTCTTTTCCAAATTGAAGTAATTCCTTCAAGCATTCTTGTTCACCCTGGAACTTCTTCAATTTTGCTACACTGCCAAAAATATCAGGCCAGGTAAGACAATGGCATATTGATGATCTTTGTTAATGTTCTGTTGTCTTTTTTTCCCTGATAGCTTTTATCATTTGCTTGGTTGATTGCACTTAACACAGATGTGTTACATTACATCAACATTTTGCTCTGATTTGTTTTATATATGAGATTTTTTTCCTTGCCAGTCCATGACTATTACATCTATCAATAGTGAATTTCATCTACCACTTTATTGTTATAATAAAATATTTCTATGAAAAACATCTGAGATCATCAAATCCAACCTTTGACCAAACACCATCATTAAAGAAATATTCTAAAACCCCCATACCATAAAAATTCACTGATAGAACTTCTTGGAGAATTTATCTACTGATCACCCATTGGCTTTGCAGGCTCCAGAAATAAGAAGCCCAAATGTGCTTTAAAGAGTTGTAGTAGTTTCTATTGCATCTTGCCATCTGTTCTCAAACTGCTTTTGGCTGCCCTTATTCTGCTTTTACATCCAACTGTCCCACCAAATGAAGAAAGGAGGAGGATGTGTTTTTGCTTCTAATAACTTCCTAAACATTGTTCCTCAGCCATAACAACCCAGTCCCTGTCTATCTAAAGATCTTTGACAGATGGTAGGCACTTCTAGAAGCTTGAGGTTTTAAAAGAAATTCCTTTCTATTCGAAAATTTTTTTCTTCTAGCTACTCCTTTTCTTTTTAAACCAGATTCTTTATTTTATACAGTTCTCCTTGCCTGACACAAAGCACAAATTTCAGGCTTTTGTTGCTCCTGCAAAGATGCTGAAGTAAAGATTTGTTAAAGCATTGTCACAGCACAACTCCTCAAAAGCAACACCAGAACCAAGTCCCAGGTTGCTGAGCACCAAAACAAGAGCTGTGATTTCTTCTGCATAGAAGAGAAAGATTCAAAGATGCACAGATTTTTCTTGACTAAAAAAATGAATTTAAATGCAGAATGTAGCAAAAAGAATGGAAAAAACCCCTGGAGATTATATCTTTTACTGAGAAGGATGAGCATGTTCCAGGATACTCATCCTCCCTCAAACCAGCAATCCCTTAAGGTCAGAACCACAACACTTGGTAGCTTTTATTTTTTTAAAGATATTTTTAACATGTCCAAATATTTCCTACAGCCCTGCAATCAGAATTCATTCCCCAGGAGGAGGAAAGGAGCTGATTTGAGTCAGTGAATTCAAGAGCAGCTTTCCCCCCTGGCACAGCAATGGGAAGGGTCAGGCAGTGTCTCACAGCAAATGCTGTGAGGATGTCCCATGTGCTGAGGAGACTTCCACATGCAGAAGAGGAGATGCCAAAGGCTCTTGAATTATCATCTCTGCTTATTGAGAACCTCTAAAGAGACAGAAATTTGTTGGATGGAACAAGGTCTGTCCACAAGGTCCTGGGTAATGATGGCAACCAGCACAGCCAGTCTGATGGACATGGCTGAGTAAAATCAAATTAAGGCCACAGCTGGTGATGCTGGCAGACACACAACAGAGCTGTGAGGCCCCACAGACCTTCCTAGGAATCCCTTCGTGACTCAAAATCAAATTTCCCAAGTCAAAGGCTTTAAAGAACCAGGAAAGGGAGAAACACCATGATGCTGAACACCAAAAATGCTCATCAATTCAATCTGCAGAGAACCTGAGCAGCAGCATCCCAAAGCTCAGAGGCCAAGCCAGCCCACAGGTGGCCAGCCCTGGTCTAACCTCATATCCCAGACTAGCTGATATCACTCACCAGGAGATTGAAGCCATGCTTGAACTTTTGGAAGCAGTCAACAAATTCATCTGGAGGAGGTGGCTTTGCACGGAGAGTAAGAACACCCTCTGGTGAACAAAATGAGATTTTTATACACCCATTTATATGTCTATAGCTTCCACAAACATTCCAGATATAGCAAACAACAAAATACATAATAAATTTGCCATCTTATAGAACTTTGTAAATACAGAACTAAGGCAGGAGCATTTCTGTGGTCACATCTCTAATTAGCCATTCCCCACTGATTTCAAGCAATTAATTTTCATAGATTTCCCTCTAAGCATCTCCTGCACAGGAACTTTTGTGCTCAAATGGAGAAAAAATTGCTACACTGATTAAGAAAAAACACACAAAAAGACATTTCCTAGCTCCTTCAATGGTCCTGAGAGAAACAGAACTGTGTGCAGTACGAACTCTTACCTCCAGGTCCTTTCTTTTTACTTTTTTTAGTTTTCTTCCTCTTTGAAAGTTCAGCAAATGCTTCAGCAGCTTTTTGCAGTTTGGTAACAAAATACTCTATGTCATCCAAAATATGGTTCAGAATTTGCTGTGGGAGAAAAGAAAAGTAAAATTAAAATTTACAGAATCTATAGCAGAAATACTCCAGGAATTGAAATGTCCAGACTCCCAGACACCAACAGCTTCCTTAGAACAAAATCCATGCTGGAACATTCCACATTTGGATTCTTTGTGCTTTTAAATTTTTAAATACAGTTCTTAAATATCTGTAAAGTACTTTAAATTTTAATTTTTTTTTTTAAATGTAGGCCTGCTGGAAGTTTTTTAATTATGTGTAACAAGATAGTTCAGCTCAGACTGCAATTACACAATTTACTTCCACATTACATTTTTGCTGAGATCACATGAAAAAAAATTGAAATTATTTGAATGGACTGCATTTTCATAAAGAGTATAACTTCATAATCTCTATAACTTCATAATCTCCTTTTGTACTGAGTATTAAACTATTTGGTGAAGCTCTCTATAAATTAAGCTGTTTGTGGAGAAGTGCTCTTTGAAGAATTGATTTCAAAGAGTAACTGGAGAAGAATGAATGAAGCCCAGGGGAAAACACAAAGAGATCAATCCAACAGGACCCAACCTGCTTTTCTCAGGACCCTCTGGTGCTGCTGAGGGCAACAGCAGAGTGGAGAAGTAGAAAGTTACAAACAACAGATGGGGCAATATTTGATCAAGCATATACCATAGAACATGTCCAATATTATTGCTTATATGCAGGAATGATTTAAGTTGTAAATAAAAAGGGTCCACCTGTCTTCAGAAATGACCATGTTAATTTTGCAGGTGTTACACATATCCAAGTCCTGCTAAACAGATGGAATTTTTTATTCCTACATAGTTTGCTGAAGTCAGTCTTCTTTAAAAAATTATCATTTATACTTCCACCTCTTCACAGCAGAAAACTTGTAATCAACATTCAGTATATTTTTCTTTCCTTTTAAAAAAGAATATTAAGGAAAGGAACTGCCACCTGTTCATTTTAGATCTACCCCAACAAGCAGAAGCTGCTTGGAAAGCTTTTCTCCAGAACTGAATTTCCCATGTGGAGAAAAGTTTTCCCACAAAGCAGAGCTGCAAAATCTCACAGGCATGAAGCAGCACCATTTGTAGCTCCTCACTTACAACATCTCTGTCAATCCTGGCTGCTATCATCTCTGCTGTTTCTTCCTGCTCGTGGTATTGTCTGTGCTTTTCATCTGCAAAGAGGGGAAAAGAGAATAAGGCATGCATACATGTGGGATTAGTATATTAGTATATAACAATTTCTATATAGTTTATTCTTTGAATTACACTACTGTAAAATAAAGATGGACAAGACTCTGCCATTCCCTTTGCAAGGACTCCACACAAGCTGAAAATTTTAAATTTTGCACCCTAATGCTTGATTTCTCTCCAGGCTCACAAAAAAAGCTTCTGTACCTGCTTTCAATCTACTTAACTGCATAAATGAAGTTTACTGCTGAAGTATTTTAATTTTTTTTTTAAAACAATTCAAAGTGGCAGATTATAAATACAACACCATTAGGAATCATCCCATTTTGCAAAATATGCTGAATGGTACTACAGTAGAAGCAAGAAAGACTGCAGTGGCTTTGAAGACGATTCCTATGTAAAAAGTTATTAGCAAAAAGGGATGTCACGTCTGGAAGCATAGAAAGAAGAGAGAATGATGTGATAGAACTGATATTTCCAAATAACAACACCCAGACTCAGTGACTCTTTTGAAAATAACAAGGAATTGAATTTTTTGAGGAATTACAAGTTTTGCATTTTTAACCCACACCTAGTACTGCACTGCATTTGTGAGCAGGTGGGATTTCAGCAAACACATTTTAGAAAAGATCCACCTGAGTGGAACAAAAGGAACTGCAGGGACTCAGATCCACAACTGCTCCAACAAGACACCAAACTAATAAAACTTTTCTGATGTGAGAGCTCAAGCAGAAGAACAAGACAACCTTTACTCAAAACAGATGTATGTAGGTAGATAGATTAAATAATTCTTAACATTTCAGATTTCCCTGCACATTTATAGCTTTCATTGCAGAGTTGTGTACTTTGTTAAGTGACATAGATATAATTTAATAAAACAAAAATTAAGGAATCCAAGGCTTTTTCATGGTACAGTCTTAATCTCTATTATTAAAAGAACACAAGCAAAGAAACTAAAAGAGGCTTCATCTTAAGCTTTTTAGTCTGTTTTAAAGAAGGAAATTTGTTCTTTCTGAAGAACTTTTAAAGAAATTTGATTGAATTTTTTTTACATCCCTTAGGGATATAAAAAAAAAACCTCTGTCTTTTAGAGTATTTTATATCCCTTAGGGATGTAGAAAACCCACAAAAAAACTATCAAACAGAAATATCCCAACCCATTAAGGAATGTTAAAGTTACAGCATTTCCTAATTAAGGCTTAAAAAAAAACCCCAAAAACCAAAAAATGGAACAAACTAATTAGCCAAAGCAGCCATTATAAAGATAAATGCAATATAAATAAATAATTATGATCTCAAGTCCTTTTATCCATTATTATAATTTTTAATTGTCCAAAATATCTGGCCCTACTACTGGGGATAGCATCATTACATTACTGCCTTTACTGTTACCACATTCACTAAAAAGCCCAGGTCAAAATCTGGAACCCTCACCCAGCACAAGCAAAACCAGCTCTGAACAGGGATCTAGAAAATGGGTAAATGCAAGGAAATGACAAATCAGATTATGACAGATCTTTGTCCCCAGATCAGGCAGCAGTTGCTTGGGGCATCTCAAACTCCGCTGGGAAAATCTGCTCGCAGTGAGGGCAGAGGGCTGACCTTGCCCAACCACTTCTGCCATCGTGAACGTGGCCTTTCCAAACTCCTTCTGTTGCTAGCAAGCACCATAACAATCCACTCCAGGCCCCTTTGTGTGTGGCACAGCCCCAGGAATACTCACAGTCCCCCTGCTCCGAGGCCCACGCCGACCACGCTGCCACGCGGCTCCGCACGTCCACCTGCGTGATGGTCCCGGGGGGCACAGGGGCAGGGGCCCGGGGTGGTGGGGGGATGGCACTGTCAGCTTTGGAGATCATCCTAGGGGACAGGAGAGAACCCATGAGGGACACTGGAAGGGTAAAAGTTCTGTTCTCCAGTGCTAGGTCAGAGGAAATGAGGAGGCCTCACAAGGACTGCGCACCACGCGATGGGCTCGCCAAGTAAGCAGCCAGAGGTGTAAATGTGTTGAACTCCAGACCATGATGTGCAAATATGTTAAACACAGCACAAATCCACTCCACCAGGGAGTGAGCAAATTTTTGTCACCTGGGAAGTCCCCAAGCAGTGCCAAAGAGCATGAGGAGACCTGCCAGCTCACACACATAAATTCAGGGCCTTGCCATTATTGGGTGGCATTATTACCAGTGCAGTTGTAAGGGTGGGACTTGACTTTTGTATGAGAGGAAATTGGAAGGTTTGAAGCTGCCTTTCAGCCATCACAAATCAAGTATCTGGTCCCCTACGTCCGGCCAGTTGTCAACCACCTTTTGCTCAAAACCCTGCCAACAAAACCAAGTTCATTGGCTGATTTGTTTTCTAACAGGGGCCTGTTCATCCTCTCTCAATACAAACATATCAATATCATGGATTGCACTACCTGCAGTTTTCCAGTTCTTAGTGTAGTTCTAAATGCTGTAAGGAAAGAGGTCTTTGAATTCATTCTTCTGTCTGTTGATAACAACAGACAAAAAAAATCACAGTAGCTCCTGTCACATGTGACCCCCATTCCTTTCCCAGACGTCTATTCAAAAACTAGATCTTCACCTTAAATTCACCTTTTATAAACCCATCTTTATCACAGCATTCAACAAGACCACAAAACATCAAATGTTGTTTGGACTTTGAACAGCTAATAGTAGTAGCAGTAGTAGTACTAGTAGTAGTAATAATAATAATAGTAATATAATAATAATGGAATCTCATATTAATATTAACATTAATAATATTGATGATAATAATAATATTAATATTAATAATAATGATAATAATAATAATAATATAGTGATAATAATTTTTACCGTTTAAAATTAAATAAATAAATGAATAAATTAATTAATTAATTTCTTTTGCCTTTCCTTCTTCCAGTCCCCTTTCATTCATCAACAACCTTGCAGCACCTTACAATGCCTCAGAGGCTCAGTGAGGCAGGAGGGTCCCTCCCTGTGACCCAAACCCTGCAGGCACATGAGCCAACAAGGAGGAGCCAGCACTCAGCTGCCACCCACGTTTGACCTCTGGGCCTCACAGCCCTCAGAGATTGATATCTCAGATTATTTGTCCCAACAGATGTATTGGCCTACATTCTTTTCCCAATTAAATCTCATTAGTTTCCCAGCACGTCCAATGTGTTTGAGTCCCTCTGGATTGGCTCTCAGTGCTTCTACCTGGTTTGCAACAGTCCCACAAATGGTAAAGTCTATTTATTTAATTTTAAACCTGCAAATAGAGTTAGACAACATTCAAGTTCTCTTTTGTTTTTCTAGGAGTGCTATAGGAAATCTTTGTAAATTGCACATCAGAATTTAACAGGTATCCAGAACTATTATACATTCATTCTAATTTTTGTCCAGCAGAGACTTCTCTATCTGAGCACAATTATTATTGAGAAATACTATCAGCATCAGTTACACTGAATTTCTAACAAGCTACTACCATCACCATTCAATATCTGATATATTTGTGCCTTTGCTTTTATGCCTCTGTTTGCTACCTCTCATTCCTGTATTAATCCTCTCTGAACCCAACAGATTCTTTCCCTCACATTTTCCAACTGGCAGAGAAGATTTTGCTACCAGGGAAACAAGAAGTCTTCAGCATCATTAAACAGGCAGGCAGGAAAATTATTCAATCTTCAGTTGCTGTTTTATTTAACATCTTCAGATCCCAAAACCTTTTAGCATAATATTATTTACTTGGAGATATGGGGAATTTCTGGGGTTTCATTTAAATTCTGAACTACTTGACCCACATGCAGAGCTGAGACATGCAATGCCATTCTCTGGCAAGTGGAATTGCTCTCAGCTGTTCCCATCACTAAAGTGGAACTGGGAAAGGTAAGACTGACACCATAAATTGAACAGAACATGAGAAAATTATTAAAGCAAGCTATGGCTTTAATACACATGGCTTTGGAAATATATTATTAGCTAGAAGGAGAAAAGCTGAAGCCCCCCACAAAACCCCAAAAGACAGCAGGCAGACCTAGAGAGCTTCTGAAAGCTGTCACACTGATAATCCTACACACTGCCAAGAAGTAGGATTTTTACCTCAGTGTCTCAAGCCTCTTCTTTTGCTTCCCACTTTTGCTGTCACTGATTGCACTTTCAATATCCTCATGAATAAGGGTAGCCTAAGGAGACAGGAGCAGGAAACATCAGGAATCAGCTACTCTTTGAAATAAATATCTCACCTTTACACAGAGAATACCTGATCAAATCCCATTTATTTAAATGGTACTGGGACAAATTATTTTACGCATAAACCGTAAAAAGAATAAAATAAAATCTGGGAGTTGGTATTTTTGTCACTACTCCAGCCTCAAGCATTATCATCACACAAGAACATAATCTAGACACCAAATTTGTCTGAACAGCTGTAATTATCCCAAGTCAACCACTATTGCATAAGCTTTTTCCCTCAAAAATATGTAATTTTTGGTTGTCTCAAGTATTTTGTTTGTCTCAGACTATAAAAAGAAAATCTACTAAATATAGAAGCAGCAAAACTACTATAGATGGCAGCATTAAGAAAGTAACTTGTCATGGTTCAATTTCCTTTCAGAAATAATGACAGCCTCCAATTTCTCTTTGATGTGACAGAAGATGAATTTTTCAGAAGATTCCCTGATCTGTGCCTTCCTGCCACTCCACAAGTGCAGCCTGCCTCCACCAGTGGCCCCACAAGTGAAATTTTGATGCACGTCTAAAGTATTATTTTAATAGATCTTGCATTAAATAGGTCATGGCTTCTCACAGGATTTAGAATGCTCTGTTACATGTCTTCAGCTGACAAATTAATTTCCTGCAAAGGCTGTCAAAGCCCAAATCTGTCAGTGTCTGGCTCACTCTGCAAGGATCATGTCTTTCCCAGCACCCTCACCATGCAGAAGTGTGTACCTTTTTGGAAGGAATAATGTGACTTCTGCTAGGACCAGAAGACATTGTTGAATTTAGGATTCCAGGGGATTACAGGACTTTTCAGGCTATAATGGATTCCACTACAGAATAGTTAGGATACTTTAAGTTTACAGAATTAATAGAAAAAACTTTAGGGGACCAGAGGAAGTTAAACCCAAAAGAAGTCCATTAATCCAACACTCTTGGTATTTATTATTTAATTTTGTTTCTTGTTTATAAAATGTCAGAATGCCCCAAATAGTATTGATTTTAACTATTTTTTATTGCAGAGGCTCCTGGAGCTGCTTGTAACTTCAAACAAAAGCAGGGAAAAGCCAACAGAGAAAGACCTAAACTTTCAAAACCAGAAAAGTTTCATGGGTAAGGAAAAAACCCCAGGGTATGGCCACAGAATCAAACAACACTTCAGAACTAAGGGAGATACTGGACTTCCAAATCATGTCTGTATTCTATATTTTTATAGAGTTTATTTTATAGAGTCTGTACTGTATTTTTTTATATATACACAGAGGAACAAGTTCAAAAATGAAGAGACACCAACTGTACACATTGAGAAGCTGGGTCCAAACACTCCTCAAAAGGGACCCCTGCATTATTTTACACAAAAATCCCTGAACTTCTGACGGGCTCCCACTTTCCTTTAAACCAGCAAATACTGTGCAACAAATCACACAATCACTAATCATCCTCACACCACTCTCACCATGCTAATTCCAAAACTGTTCCACAGTGTGATTAAAAATCTGTTGTTTCAAGGCAATAATACAAACCACTACAAAGGAATTAAGAAATCCCCATGAAATTCTCAACTGGAATTACAGAGAGTAACTAACAGAATTAAAATTTATAACCTCAGAAACAAAGAAGTATTGCAGAATACATTAAAAAAAATAATTTACACTTGAAGGCAATATTTTCATCAGAGACAAGCAATCTCTTTCCTTGTTTTGCCCCTCATGCAAGGAATATTTTCCCTTTCAAGATCTCTCCAGCAGAGCAGAGATGCAGAGAGGTGAGAATGTAGAGAGTGTTTAATTGCTCAGTGACAAAAAGAACAGAAAGAGCAGGTAAGACTCAGGGCTCAGATGAGCTTTTTGCAGATTGTAAAATAAATTTGAGATAACTCAAATTATTTTACACCACTTTTGTCAGAAGTGTGAAGGCAAATCATAGACATTTTCCAGAGCTTTATACATTTGCAAAGCCAAATTAGGAGCTACAGAGTCCAAGAACCAATATTTACAGTAAAGATCTATTTGAACATGCACTGAGGAGTCAGCTTAAATATTAGATTTCTCCTTTGCAATACATACTACACTACATTTACTAACATACTGTAAATAGTGCTGATATCATAAGTGGATTAAACTTACAGTATATTTCCAAGAATAAAGTAAAGAATTATTTTCTATGAATTAACTCATTTATCTTTATCCACTGTGCTGGTCAATTAATACAATCTCCCCTATTCAAATAAGTCATAGCAGATCTTCAGTATTATCTTACCTTAATTTCATCACACTGGAAAAGATGCAAATCAGGCTTGTTTTGGGTTGGTTCTTTACATATTAATGCAAGAATTGAGTTGTAGTTGCACGCATTCATCACAGCTTGGCAATGCTGAATTGTGCTTAAAGGAAAATTCTCCAGTTCATTCTGTCAGAAGAGGGGGAAAAAAGAAGAAAACACAAAATGCCACTTTACTATACAGTGTCCTGATCTCAGAAAAGCTGCATGAGCAAAAAAGGGAAAGTGATAATAAGCTAATTAAAATCCTCAGTCTCACATACATAGTTTTCCTGCTCTCTCCCTTCTCCTCTCTCTCTGAAAATGAGACTGTCACTCACAGATCCTACCTTTGATTCCAAGTCCACCAAGCTGACAGCTTTGTCATCCACTTGAAGAATCATGTCTTGAGTCCACACTTTGCCTTTGGCATCCAACAATTTCAGCTTCCTTATTCCATCATCCACTGTGATCATTGCCTCTTTGCGGTCCAGAACAAAGGTGGTCAAGTGCTGGTGAGTAAAATGTGCATTTAAAAGAAATTGTGATTGCAATTTTCCCTATTGTTCAGGAGTGCCAGTATTTAAATTGTCAGGGAGTAGCAATACAAATTATTCATGAGTAAAAGTGCCTTTGTATATGGCAGGACACATGAGGAAGGATGTTTAGTCCAAAATGTCATTTTAAGTAAACTTATTTTTGTAGCTTGCTTTTTGATACCCACTGTCATTTCCTCACTACTGAAAGCAGACACATTCTGACACCCTCCAGGTATCAAAGCTAGAATTAAACCAGGAGTTTTAATTAGCTTTTTCAGGAGTGAAAACCTGTCTCTCTCTTGGCAAGCTGAATGCAGGAGGTGCCAGCAGAGGCTTCACAGAGTCTCCCTGCCAATGTAGCTCCATCATCACCCTGACCTGGAGCGTCCTCATCTCTTCCAGAGCTGCCAGCAGCCTGCTGGTGGCAACCAGGATGGGCTTGCATCTCACTGGAACACCTTATGGATGGGCTGGTCATTTAATGTGCAGCACAGAAGGAAACAGTAACAATTTTTGCTCACCATCAGTATTCTCCAGCCTCAATTAATGGCCTGGAAACTAAATAGTGCCTCCCAAACTTCACCTCAGCTAGCTTCCCTGTCATTATGGCTGTGGCAATTTCTCCCTCAGCATGCCAATTGTGCAAGAAAACCCACAAAATTATTTCGTTTTGTTCAGGCATAAATCCACCTTCACATTCTAATTGAAGATCTGGTAACACTCATTCAAGCTGAACCACATTAAATGTATGCCTGCATATCTGTCTTCTAAATAACTTTAGAAAACAAAAATAATACAAAAGGATTAACTGTGCTTTCTTCTCTTACAGGATAACAGCACAGGGTAATTACAGAGAAGAAAGTAGGTGTAAGCTGCATTTAATCAAAGTATTTAAAAGAAGTAAAGTGAAACAAACTCTGCACTGGCTGCTTACCCAGGAATGCTTAGATTCTAAATGCAAGTAGTAATTGTTATGCCAGTACAGGACCAAAACAGTTATGAAGAAAGCACACAAAATAGACAGGCAATTAGAACCAAATCAGGTATTCATTTGCAAACTGATTGTAGGGCTGAAGCACTTGAAATTAGGATATGATCTGCATATGATCTCACAATTGATTATTTAAAACCCCGCAAAAAGGAGCTGAGGATCTTGCTGTTTGCAAGACTTGGCTTAAGCCATGGCAGTGGTCTGGTGGCAGCAGGAGAAAGTTTAAGCCAAAGTAAGGCTCCAAAAGGAGGCACTGCATCCATAAATGCTTAACAGGCTACACACAGGCACTCAGGCTTACCTTGCTGAATATTTTAAATATGACAGCAGCACGCAGTAATTCTGCAAAGCAGCTTAAGGCAGCAAGGCACACACTTTGCTCTCCACTCTGGGGAAGACTCAGTGCAGGCACAGTATTTAATTCTGTATTTAACCACCACACACTCCACCCACTGGGAAATTGAGGGGTTAATGCTCAGCACTTTATGAATATTCTAATACCTCTGCTGATTAGATCTGATCAGAGTATTAGCTTTAAATACCAAAGTGCGCCTTGCCAGCAGCACAGGGCTGTTCAGCTCTGCCTCATCTTTGCAAGGAGCCAGGTTCAGAGACAGGGCAGCACAAGGTGTGGAATTGTTGCTCTGTTGAGGAGTCCTGTCTTCTTGCCAAACCACACGCAACTTTGCACACATCCTTCCATATCCAGATTTCAGCTCTTTGGGGCAAAGCTAGAGAATTTGAGACATTTCAATATAATCTGCTCTGAATTTGAGACATTTCAGTGTAATCTGCTCTGAAGTGACCCCAGGCTGGAGGGATATTTTGGAAGATGCATGTGCCTTGAAGCTTATATATCCTCAAAAAAAACCCCATGTAGGCAAAAATAACCACATGTAACTGAGAGCTGTAATTGGTGTATCCCTCTCATCTCACCTCCACGTGGTACTGTGATGTTTCAGATATGCTGCTGACACTGTCTCGTGCATAATTCTTCCTTTGTTCTGCAGATGGGAGGAAAAGAAAGAATAATTATTCACTCAGTGCCTTATCCTGGTGTCTTGACTGCTTCTCAGAGACACTTTGGACAAGTTGTACACATGAGAAGAGGAGATAAGCTGTGGTTAATTTCTGAATTTCAGCAGAAAATTCCTCCACCCCCACATGGCCCAGCACAAGGACCATTTTTACGTCAGCAATGTTAACAAGGAGCTGGTGGGTGCCCAAAAAAAGCCATTTATCTCATCCAGTGGGGCAGGACACTGGAGAGGAGCAGTGCTCTGACTGCAAACACTGCCTTGGGAAGGCTGATTATTGAAATCTTTGCCTTGCCACTGTAGCAGCAGTATGATAACTAGCACTGGGCTCACTGTAACTGTGTGAGCATCCTTGAAAGCAAAAGCATTTTCTGATATATACAAATAATTCTCATGCTAAATCTGCAAGAGGACAAAGGCACACACAATAAAAGACCTGACTCATCCTTTATTTCTTCATGAGGTATTCAAGTCATTGAATTGCTAATGTAGAAATAGGCATGGAAATATACATAAACACACCAAAATATCTCAAAATAGGGAATATTTTTCAGCTAACAAAACACAATGCTGCAAAACCAGAAACATTATGTGCCTTTTACTCTGTACAGTAGATTTACATTAAACCAGGAGAGGAAGGAAGGGGAAAAGCAAGATGAAGACAAAACACACACCCACACCACAAAATAATGAATTTAGATGAATACTAAAGAACACTTTTCAACTCTAGTGGAAAAAAATCGAATGCAACATTTGGAAGTTTTGGGGTTTTTTTCACTACAACCACTTAAGTGCCTGATCTGGAAGACCAGGAGCTTTGTTGTGAAAAAGCCAGTAGGTGACATGGCCAAGAGAGGTTTGGGAAACTCTGGAATTGGTAAATTTTTTTCTGTATTTCATTAAAAATCGCAATTTCTGATCATCAAGTAAAATAGGTGGTTTGATTTCTTTTCATATGATGAATATATAAAACATACATATGAAATGCATCAATTTCATCACACTTGGAGTAGCTGGAAGTAAAATAAGTGATTGTGTTGACAGGAAGGTTAAGTTACTTTTTGCAAAATTAAAAAAAAAATTCTAAATACTATCAACCATATGATCTGTGACATACAGAGATCTGCAGGAGGAGTCCATAAAAGCCCCCCTACAAATGTCCCTTCTGTGGCCAGGGCTCCTCCATGCAGGAATTCCAGGTGCAAAGACAGCAGTGCCCTCACCTTCAGACGTCACTCATGGAAGGAAGCATTTGTCACATTTTATAAACGCACCATTCTCTCTTCCCTTCTCACTGATTTTCCCAAAAAAGCAAATTTCTGAGATGCAGCACTGGCCTGAAGCCCCCCTCTCATGGTGACAAATGCCACTGAGGCAGCAGAGCCATCCTAATCCTGCACAGCAGCTGCTCACTTTGCTTCAGCAGGGGAAGTGTGCAGAGCAAGCAGCCAAATGCAAGGACAACACAAATTATCAGAATTTTTAGCCAGGTGTGTGAATATTTCAAAAAAGATATCTTTCTTTCATTATGCATTATTCTGAAGTCCCAAGGAATGTAGGATACAGCCTTGGGATTTCAGCCTTGATCATTCCATCTGCATCTACTATTTCTGCTTTTGCAGCATGTTGCTGAAATGATTTTTTTCAGCTTTCAGATTGTCTCTTTAACCACAGCACACACACATGCACACCCCAACAGCACAGCCAGTAAAGCAGGGCTGTCTGATTTGCTACCTTTCTTTTTTTGTTTGGATGATGATCTGAAGAAGTAAAGTCCATCTGTTCCTAATAAAACAAGGGGATTAAAAAGCAGTATCTAGTTTAATCCCATAGAATTATTTGCATCTCTAAGGGGATCAGTTAGCAGCCTTCTGCTGTGGACTGTAAGTGATACTTAAATACTGTCCAGTAAGAAAGAATATATGCTTTAAACAAAACAAAACAAACAAAAAAAAGTTACTAGTTTCAATAACAATGCACCAATACTCCGTTTTGAGGGTTGTTTTACAAAAATATAAGTTTTGTGCTATTGAATTAAACAAGCATCAGAAAGTTTACATCCACTGTAAAATTTGTAAATGCTGCAAACAGTAACAGTTGGAGCTGCTTTAAATAAAAAAGAAAGTCTGAGATATATATATATATATATATATATATATATATATATATATATATAGGCTCCAAAGGAATCAAAAAGCAGAGAGTAAATTAGGAAGAGGCTCCTTATTCTGCTTCTGTGTTAAGACAGGAATTTCAAAACCATTTGCAGCATGGATTAACAGATCCTCTTCCACAGAGCAGCTCAACACTCCCAGTAGGACAGGATGGAAAAATGTTCAACACACACTGTCATGGTGAGATTACATGTGGATTTTATTAAAGTTCTTGCAACTATTGCATTGTAATCAACAAAAACTTTGATAAAATTTACATTTAACTAAAGTCAATCAGTGTTTGTGTTAATAAACAAAAAGTTGGGACACAAGAACTGAGCGTCCACACTGAGAACAATTCATATTTACAAATTTATTTCTTTAAGGCAGGTAGAATGAGAATTAGAACCTGCTGGAGACCCAAGTTATCATTTAGAGCAGAGCAGAACATTTCAGCTGGGACTGAAACACAGCTATAGAGGATCTGGAGGTGGATTCTACAGCTGCACCCTGAAATTATTCACCCATCAAAATACATCTTCTAACACAAATCCTGGCATCAGGCAAAATTCTTTCATTGTTGGAAAGATTTGTCTTCAGCCTTTGTTTTCCAAAGCTTTTACAATCCAATGGTTCATAAGTGGGTCTCCTTTCCCTTACAGCTCCCTGAGACTTGTGTTTTTTTGTCTGTCTGGCATGAATCACACTGAAGGAAGAACAGTCCCCTCATGATAATATAAACATAAAACAAAGAAAGACAGAGAAAAAAAGATAAAAAGGAAAGGAAATAGAAAGACAGGCAGTTAAAATGCATTCCCTGTCCCATGGCTTTTGCCAGCACCTCAAAACGAATCTTCAAGCTCTGCTTTCTCCTGGTGCCTGGCTCCTGTCCCAGACTGCACCTACAACCCTCCAAAAGTTCTCCCCTTGCCATCAGGAAGGACACAAACCCTTTTGCAGCCCCTCCTGCTGAAGTGCTCCACTGCCCTGAGCTCCTGGAAAAGCTGATGAAAGCCTGCACATCTGTTCTCTGTCCTCTCCAGATGACACAAGGGACTGCTGCTCCTTCCTGCAGCACCTCTGTGTTTCCATTTCCCAGTCACAGAGATCTCAGCTGGTGACTCTCACAGGTTCTTTCATCTGTATAAAAATTTTTCTTTTCCTACAGAGGTGCCCATTGCCATTCTTCAGGAAATGCAGCTTCCATCTCTCGACTCTTTCACGTATCAAAGAGACAGATTATTACCCATCAATATTAATCTGACTGCTTTTACAGAAACCTTAACCTATCACACTAACTGCAAATGCAAGTAACACAAACTCTACTATTGAAAAGGAGCAACAGAATTTGCTGATGTGCTGAATGCAGAGGGTCTGGCTAGGACGGAGATGATTTTTGGATCTGATAACATGGGGATATTTTAGCTGTGGCTGAATGGCATCAAAGTCTTCTCTAAATTTCTTATTCTGCTGCCCCAGTGAGTGGGCTGAGGATGTACAAGAGAGGGGACACAGCTGGGACAGCTGACCCAAAGGATATTCCATACTGTTTAATATCCTTGCTCAGCAGTAAAAGTGGCAGCAGTCTTTCCAAAGACTCCTTGCCCAGATAGTTTGGCCATTGCTCTGCTTATGGAAGGTTGTGAGTAAATCCCTTTGTGCTATTCAATCCTTTTTCCTCCCTGTTCTTTCCTTCACCCCTCAAGCCATCTTTATCTTGATCCATCACGGTTTTTTCTTGCTTTTTCTCTTCCAATTCTCCCCCTGTTCTGCTGCAGAGAGGAGACAGGGGGAATGAACAAGCAAATGGGGAGGTCCTCAGATGCTGGCTGGGGTCAGCCCCTGACACTGACAACCCTAACAAAATAATGTTTTGTGTGCTTTGTTTCACTCTCCTCATCCTCCCAATCAATCTCAGCCTCTCACAGGTCCCTTCATGCATGAAGAGGCTATTGAAGCTGAAGTGAAATACTACAATAGAGACTTCCAGACATGAGGCATAAAACTATCAAAAGAAGAATAAAACTATCAAAACATAAAAAACCTTATCAAAATTATTGAGTTTTTCCCTGTATACTCTACTCATTGCAGCTCTTACACCCACCACTTAAAGTACAGTGCAGCCCTAATAACAGGTTAGCTCAAACTCTGCTGATATGCTGCACACCATTTAGATAAAGGATTTTTCCTTTGGCAAAATAAAAAAAAGAAAAAGACAGGATCATGGCAGAATATACTTAAGTTAAATTCTTAACCACCAATTCTTAACCAATCTATAGCAAATGTAACCCAGAAGAATACGATTAAAATAAAATCTCTCACAACACAAAGGCAATAAAATGAAAAGCAGCACATTTCACTTATAGGTCCTGAATGTAAAATCTAAATTTCACTTATGGGTCCTGAATATAAGATCTACTTGCTACTGAAGCTTCCGGAGGAACAGGAATATTGATCCACAGAAACTAGTACTCTTGCTGATGTCTGATGTGGACAGATATTACAGCAATTCATGTTGTGTGAAATTACTGAATTCACCAATCATCAGGAACAGACCATGTTTCTGTTTTCAAACAGAAGTTGACAACTAAGGATTTTATTTTCATTTTTGAAAGCATCCAAAACACCAAAAAACAAAAAGCAACCTCTTAACCAAAGACTTTCAGCCAAGTCAAAAACTCTACCAGCCAGCCCATGACATAGATCAACAGGATTGCAGATTGCTCTGAAATTTGATGGCAATCACATGGCCATGGATTGAAAGTCTCCTCCAAAATCTGTCCCAAGGATCCTGGAGTGACACCATAAAATATTTCTACACACCATCAAGCAGAAAAGCCCAATACTTAATTTACTGCCATCTATCTGCATTGGTTGATGGTTGATACCCTTAAGAATAAATTGGGAAAAAAAAAAACAGCTTGAGGCAGAGCAAAGTGCAGGAGAAGTGACCTAAACATCCGGGGACAAAGGCCAGAACTCAAATTTCCTCTTCAGAGGAGCAAGCACTATCACTTTCAGAGATTAATGCCAGGAGCTTCTCTCTGATGGCTGTGTGGAAGTGGATGTCAAAGGAAGTGTGTTGTTTAGAAGTCAATTGTCAAATTAATCTGAGAACCAAAATACTGCAAGGATGTTAATGTGGATGGCTTCTTCCAGTGCACTCATTTACCTGCCTGTGAGCTTGTGAAAAATGTGTATTTTATTATTAAAATGAATATTATATGTGTTATGTTAGAAGGTTATGCTGTATTAATTTTCTTAAGTAGTGTGTTAAATATAGGTTTAGCTTGTAACATAATAGAAACTAAAAATAGAAACTATGCTATGTAAGATACTTTAATTAAAGAAAGGACTCGCAGTGAGATAGCAGCCACAAGACACCTAAATCTTTCAGAGAAAGAATTTATTACTCTCTTATCAAAAGAAACGAACTTCCTGCCTCACTCAGCCCTGAAGACACCATTAGGATTAAGAGGAAGAAGATGACACTGACCAGAGAGAATCCTTTGTTTGGATGGAATTTATGCATCATGTATGAGGTGTATGAATATGCAACAGGTTATTGTTTTTAAGGGTTAATCCCCTGTTAATGTGGATCCTTTTTTGGGCTTATTTTGCCCAGAAAGAGGTACCCTGACTGTCCATAACTCTTTGTTTTTATTGTCTCATATTGCCCTAAATCCTAATTGTCCAAATTTTTATTACTCTAATTATATTACTACTTTTATAACCATTTTATTACCATTAAACTTTTAAAATTTTAAAAACAAGTGATTGGCATTTTTCACAAGCTGCATGAGGTTTCCTTGAATTTGTTACACTGCAGTCCTTGCTCTGAAGTAGGCATATGAGCAATGCAAAAATACACAGGTGTACCATTCACATTCTCTGAAAAATCCCTTTGCCCAGGATTTTTCTCCTGGGAAGCTGAGAAGCCTCAGAGAAAAGGAAAACAACTCTTATCTAATTTGCTTCTCTCGTGTTGTCCTCATGTGTGGAATGTGTTTGGAGATTGTTTATCCACAGGTGGTTATTTCATTGGTTTCACGTGAGTTGTTTTGACTCTTTGGCCAATCAGTGCCAAGCTGTGTCGAGCCTCTGGAAAGAGTCACAATTTTTTCATTATTATCTTTTTAGCCTTCTGTAAGTGTCTTTTCTGTATTCTTTAGTATATAGTTTAATATAGTATCCTTTAATATAATATAATATTATAAAGTAATAAATTAGCCTTCTGAGAACATGGAGTCAGATTCATCATTCCTCCCTGCCACGACGGTCCCTGCAAATACAATACACAGGCAATCTCACTTCCAGCTCCAAATCACAGCCACCAGAGGATAAACTCAGTGCACAAAACACTCAGTCTTTTCTAATGTGTTGTGAGAAGACAATTTTAGCAACATCTTTCAGTTCTGTACAATAATCTGACAATTTGGAGTGACCCAAATTCAAGGACCAAAATCCTGGTCCATCCCTCCTGGGGAATGAGGCTGCTCCTTGCTGTGTGAGGGGCTGGCAAAGCCCCAGCACTGCTGCTCCTCTCCCCCAGTCAGAACTGCTCAGGACAGATGGAGAACCAATGCTAGAACAACAGATGACAGCAGGAGCCAGAACCCAGCTCCGACGGAGAGAGCAGGAAGCAAACGATGAAATAAACCCCATAAAAATGTGCAGAGAGCACCTTCCCTCGCCTCAGAGAGAGATTTGTCATGCAAATAGAAAACAGCTCATTTCAGGAAGGAAATGAGTGAAAACAAAGGGATTATTTGACACAGGAAAAAAGGCAATTGCAAGGAAGTTTTCGCTATCAGACAGGAACATTAGAGATAGTGATGGCTCCGGTCTGGCTTTGAGCTGAACACCAATAATAATGTTAATTAATAGCTGAATACCACGAATTGGTAACACCAATAATATTCCAGCCTCCTTTCCCACAGCACCGGCCAACCTTCTGTGTGATGCCTGAAGGGTTGAATATTCATGAGTCACCTCAGCAATGGCATCAAAGACATAAAATTCATGCCAGGACATAAACATGCCTGCATATATGCCAGGACAAAAACATACATACATATAACAACAAGCAATAATAACATTAATTTGTAATAATAGTAGTAGTAGAAATACTAATACTAATACTAATACTACTAATAATAATAATAATTTTCTTTTTATTTAGTTTTTACAGTGCTTGGAAGAGACTGAGTTCAATATGAAGTGGTCACTTAGAAGCCCAGGCACCATTTTACTTAATAGTCAGGGATAGGTGGCTGAGTCCAATTGACTCTCAAGTTCTCCAAGAAAAGGAACATTTTAATGGAAAATTTGGTGCTGACCTCATGCTGTGACATTTTAGTAAAATAAAGCAAAAAACACCCCACAGTCTGTTTTACATTAGATTTACATATATTTTTCCAAAATATAAAAGTGAATCTATTAAACACATGAGCTTTCTGTATTAACCTAAATAGTATACATACTATACATTTAAAATATATGTGCAAAACAAAATATAAAAAGACAGCTAAGACAGCTTCCTCCTGCTCCATAGGATTTCAGTCTCAATATTCTCAAATAAAATAATTTAGTTAGTTATTAATTATTTATATAATACTTTGCAATGAGCATTTTCAACACCCTTTACACTTCCAATTTCACTCAGTTGTTTTTCACCCTGTTTGGGCAGTATGCACAAAAAATTCAACATCACAAGGGAAGAAGATGCTCATGGGATGCAGCAGAATAGTAAATTTGTTGCTAAAAATTAAAAAAAATTGCCCTGAATTTGAGAAAGATTTTAGGCGCTTTCCTTATTTTCTCCTGCTCATATATGTGGTGATAGCAACACCCTACTTCTTTACGTATAAAAAAACAGAGCAGAAGTAGTAAAATGTGCAAACTCTTAAAGCTGTGCCAATACATATCCATTTGGAGCTCTAAACAACTGATTCGTCTACTTCATTCAGCTCCTGGCAACTGCAACTATCATTTTGTGATATATCTACCAGAACAGAAGTGAACCAAGGACAACATTTCCCTTTACAGGAGCCACCACCCAGCAGTTTCATGGCAAGAATTTTCCTTAGTACCTGAATTTAGTTAAGTACTTTGGAAGTAAAAAAAATGCCATTACACACTTCAAGTTTACTCACTTGTCCCCGTCTTCTCCTGACACATGACCATCCCACAATGTTTGATATGAAAAAGCTCAGAGAGAAATTTTAAAAGCTCACAAAGATTAAAGGACATAGCTAAGACACTGATACTGCCACACTGTTCAGACCATAAACTCCTGAAAAATTATGATGATAACATAAAATGAAAAAGGAATCACAACACTCTCATAAAGAAATAATAATCTGCTAAGAGTTTTTTCGCAATGTCCCTTGCTGGTTTCTGTTGCCACCTATTATTTCTGTCAACACTTGCAATCAGTTTGCTGAGTGAAGCCACACAGGATGCAGAAATCACTCTTTAAAATTATCAGCTCAGAATTTTCCTCAGTTTTGGTTCCTGCCTTTACCACCATGTCAAGAAACTGACATAGCACTAAAACAAAGCAAATTTGAACTTAGATTGATTCAATATTTGGGTTGAATATTAGGAATTCTTGTGTCAAAGAAGAAGAATGCTGTAAGTGCCTTTTCTGCTAGCAGGAGATGAAGCTGGGGAGGGAGGGAGGTACAGGAGGAATAAAACCCCACAAGGGTTTAAGCACAGCTAAACCCTTGAATGCCTTCTCCCTGGTGCTTAACTTAGCTATAGGATCACTCTGAGTTTTGTGATGAATGCTGCCTGGAAAATGAGCAGGTGGGAGCTTTCTTCCTAGTAAACTGAGCATTTTCTAGTTTGCTTTAGCAGGAATAAAACCACTTTGTTTTTCAGTTCAGTTGACAGACACACCCATGTGTATGTACATACACTTTCAGATTGATATGTGTAAAATATTTCCACCACCACACCACAATCACTATTTAAACAGCAACTTAGCACAGAAGTTTAGAGAGTTTTTGCCACCTTACCATAGAGAGCTTTTGCACTTGTTCTTGAATTCTGCTCCCTCTCTGCCTGGGCAAATGTTGGGGAGCCATAGCCACTGGAAGAAAACATTTCTGGTTATCTTCTGTATAGATATATTTGGCAGGGACTAAAAAAAACCCCCCTCCCCTTACTACACATAACTACAGCATTAGTAACAGAGAGAATGATACCAGATATTTGTTCCACACCATAAATATGAGGGAGAATGTTTCACTTGGGCTGCAGGCCCTTCTGAGCTCTCTTTTGTTGCATTAATACAACTTTGTGCACAACTGGAGTGTGGTACACAAATAAATACCACCTTAACTCCAGTAACAAACGTCACAGTGCCACAACAACAACAACAATAATAATAATGATGATGGATGATGATGATGATGATGATGATGATAATAATAATAATAATAATTTTATAGTGTATTTATATATCATATATCAATATATAGAATATAATATTGTATGTAGTGTGTATTATATAATATCTTATATATTAATATGTATAGTATATAATGCATCTTTATATATTTATATTATTATATCTATAAGACACATAATAATTTTATAATAATAAAAATAACAATAGTAATCAAGACTATGCTACAGAATTGGGTAGGATTTGAGTTTTTTCCTGCATACACAAGTGTTGGTTGCTTTTAACAATTTTAACAGCTTTTAATGAAAAACTTTAAATTACTCTCATTGTCTCACACAAACAAAAAGGCAATATGACTACAAGTGTTTCAAAAATGAGTGATATATGAGTTCACCTTAATAAGAAGCAAGAGACACCACAGATATCCTGTTCCACACAGGAATACGTGCTCCTTGGCATCAGATGGGTAAATTCCCATTAGTGCTGCGAGTGAGTCTCTGCCATGCCCCTGATACAGGGATCCCCCTCTTATCTGAAGCAAGGTAGCACTCACAGGTAGCAGCTGCTCAGTTCTCCTTCCTGGGAAACAGTCTGTTCTCACAGATGGGAGAGGCAGCCTCATCTTTAATGCATAAAAATGCATTCACTCACAGCTAACCTTAAACATCTCAGGCACACAAAGGCCTCTCTGAGTAACACAATAAGGATGTTATGGCTACAGCAATTTATTTTGCTCTTCCAGATGAGTCCATGCAGTAACAAAGCTTTCCCTTACATGAACATAAAAATATCTGTCACAGTTATTTCTTCTACAGAAAAAGCCTTTTTATAATTCCAATGGGACTACTAATTACAGCTCTATCTGAAATAAAAACCTAAAGAAGGAGGTACAATGCTATTTTGTCCATAAAAGGCAAGTCAAAGGCAAAACCTTACTTCATTTGAGGGAAGTAACTTCCATATCCACCGGGAGGGGTGTTTGATATGTGCCCATTCATTCTCACTGCCACTCACTGGGAGAAACCACCTGGGAAAAGGAAAAACAGCACATGAACTGGAGTCTCCTAAAAGATGGAGGCTGAACACAGGTGTAATACAAACCTAATGAGGAAACTATGGTTGAAATGGGAACGAAATTGCATCAACAAATTCAATTATTGTTAACTGCATCCTGGTGGTGCTGCTGTGGAACTTCTCCCAGTAGCAATTTGATAGTTATAGCTTCAAATAATTTATAATTTCGTGAACAAAGCTATTATTTTTGACACAATGGTCTTTAGGAATAGCTGTAGAAATAAAAGGCTCACTAAACAAAGAACAAGATCTACTGCAAATGTGAACAAGATGTTCCAAATGGTAACTTTATTGCTCAAGCATGCTCGATTTCAGCCCTCAATTCATTTCTTTCAAATGCAACTCTTGAAATGACCTTTTGATGCATATTCTATGAAACATATCAGCTGAATTGTTAGAAAAGATGCATTATCAAATTAAAACACAATTGTTAGCACAAAAGGAAACTTGGTTAGCTATTTTGGTACTTAAGAAAACTTCTTTTTTTTTTTTTTTTTTTTTTTTTTTTTGTTAAGCAGTGCTTAACATCCTGAAAGTTTGGCCTGCCAAATGAAACCTTTCCCATAAAAGCAGTGCTGAACAGGCCACGATAAAACACTTTAAAAAATTCTCCCTTTAATAACACGTCCATTGAAGTTAAAACTAGCTCTGGAGAGTGACTTTCATAACCCTTTCATATTCAAATTTACCATGGGCAAACACTCTTTCATTTACATATATACATGAATAATATAAATTTGAATATTTCTCTACATTTCAGTCACACTGCAGAGCAGTCAGAAGTGTACCAGATCAAATTTGTACCTAGAAAAATCTCTGTTTCCAAAGCAAGAACAGCCTGCTCTGTTTGCACTAGAGCTGCCTTGCAGCCAGCTTTTCCTCTGAGGCTCTAATTCATCTCACTGCCCCACATTCACTGTTCTCCTCTTGTTTGACAAAAAAAGCAGCAGCTCTTTGACCTGCCAGTGTCCATTGAGTGCCCACATGTATTCTGCTCCTTCCTTCTTCCATGCAAAAAGACAACAAAAATCTGTGCTGAGCTCTAAATCCATCAGTCAGTTCAAGAGACAAACAAGCTTTGGTGATCTTTGGTGCTGAGGGCACAGTTTTTATACATTTCTGAGGAACAAACCCCTGATGCAGTTAGCAAAACTAACTAGAACAGCGTATTTGTTGGTGTATTAGACATGCCAAGAGAAATGATGTATTTGTATTTGAGGTGTATTCGTATTTGAGGTGTATTTGACATGCCAAGTGAAATCCTGTGCAAGGATGGTGTTTTTCGTGGGTATATACTTGCTACTTTGACTTAGTGTATATATTTTTATTATTATTATTATTTTAAATTTCTTTAAATTTCTTTCAAATCTCAGCTCCTTGCAGAACCTCTTTAGTGACACAAGCACATTTTGCCCCAGAAATACACCACATATCCAAACTGGTAGCCAGTCTGGCTGCTCTAAAACTCTTTTTACGGAGTGTAGTCGTTAACAGCTGTCTCCAATAAATTACCACCCATGTTGAGTGCTGCTCAATTCATTAGCAATTACAACCTTTGGGAAGCATCCTGGAATCATCCCATGACTTGAAAGGATACAAGTGTTCATTTTCTCAGCAGAATTTGCCAGCTCACTGTCCACTCCCTGTTTCAGCTCAGAGTGCCCCTCTCCAGCCCAGGCTGCCTCTGAGCTCTCCACCACTTCCTATCAGCTGTTAATTCTTATCATCATCTGCATCCAAGCTCAATTTGCTGCCCTGCTTAGCAGTTTCCCCTGTGATTAACTTCCATAGAGTCACCACATCCAAAACACACAAATTATCCCTGCTGCTGTTTGGTGTCCCCACTTAACTTTCCATCCACGCATTGTTTAAGATAGCACTCATTGAATAATTCTGTTTGTCATAATCTTTTTTGATTTGTAGTCTTTTTCATAGGCCTATTTGTAACAGATTCTGCAACTATCTGTCTTAAAGTGAGATCTGGGGGGAGAAAACCCCTTGGTTCAAGACTTTCTCAGAATAATTCCACTGCTCTGACATCTTAATCTGACAAATGCTTGGTTTGTATTTGTATTCACTCAGTTTTATGGAGGTGGTGAAGCAGATATTTTAAGTAGAAGGAATGTAATATATTAGAATGCAATGTATTAGAATTTCAAGCTTCAGCCTTTGAAGTCAGCATGACACACTGAGTTTGAAAGCAGCCAGACAGCTGAGCAGCAGATATTCACATTGGGGAAAGAAACCATCTCTCATGACTAAATACCTGCCCACTGTAAGGCACAACACCACTTAAATACAAAAAGCTTCAGAATTATGTCTTGAATGAAGAGATGCTGAAAATCTGAGGTCAAAAATTTTGACTTTTAAAATTAAAAAAAAAAACCAAGCAGCTTGTTCTGCCAAGCAAACACAAAAATTTTAGTCAGCTTTAGCTGATATGCAAACAAAACACCACTTGCTATTAGATAGTTGAGTAAAACCAACAATATTTCCTGTCCCTCATGCAATTTTCCAGTGCTTCTGAAATTCCAGCACTTCTACCTTGACATGACACTTTCAATGTGACTACAATTTCATGCAGTGCTTCTGTCACTTGATTCAAGGGACCTCCAGAATGTGAATACAAACAAAGCCTTTACTATAATCATTTATAATTAGTCCAAATATTTACAACAGCATCAAAAAGCCGCTTGTGACTCCCCAGAATTATCACACAATTGGATCTCATTCAACCTAAATGTTTCATTAAAAAAAAATTTAGAAAAATGCTTTATTTTTTTTTTTATTAAGTGCATGATGAAGAAAAGTGAAAAACCACAAAAGGGTAACAGTATGTGCAGGGCTTTATTATTGCCTTGTACAGCTTTCTCTGCTGTGTTTCTCATCTCAAATGCTCTTTCATCTCTTACAACCAGTCAGTCCTGCAGCAAAAGTCACCCCCTGCACACTGCAAAGCCATTGTCAACCAGGAGTCATTAATAAACTCCCCTTCCTCTTTAATCCTCCCTTTCACCCCAGCCCAGCAGTGCACAGCAACCTCCACTGGTGTCCCAGACTTCAAAATAAACATCCTTCACAATTAACTGTAAGATCCCTCTTCAATTAGGCCTGAAGTATCAACAGTTTAATTGTGAATATGGCCAAAAATGGTCATGTCTCAGGATCCCGAAAAAAAGAAATACATACTCATGCCTGCTCGGAAAAAGAAATATTGTAAACCAGGAAAGCTAAGTAAGATTTCAAGAAGAGAAGAATAATAGGAAAATAGATAAAATAATAATAATAATATAAATATAATGATACTTTAAGTTTACTAAAATAATATATAATTAAAACAAGTTTAAAATATTTATAAATATTATTTTTATAAAATATTTACAAATATTTTCTTTTGAAAAACAAACAAAAAAATCCACAATATTGTCTCAACAACAACAAAAAAAATCCACCTAGGACTTCCCTGCCGCCATCTGCTTTATTTTTGAAGAGATGTTGATAGTCAGGAGCTCTGTAAATGACAAGGGCCCAGCCTTTATAGCAGAGAAACCATTTCTGAGACAGATGTACTTTTGTCCTTCAGCAGTTACAGGTGGTAATCCCAAGCATGGGGAGAATCATGCCAGTGTACAACATGATTCTATCAGTCATGAACACTGTTTTTAAAAAAAAAAAAAATTACTCTTTGTCTTCCCCATCTTGTAGCACGGCAGCCTCATGAAAACAATGCAATTTATGTGGCACATCAACAGCTCACATGTCCTGCCATGGCGTTTGCTAATAAGAGTTTGAAAATAACAAAATCTCCCATGTTATTTTAAAAAAATAACCCAAAACACCTTTCCCAGAAAGGCAGAGCTGCATCATTAGAGCAAATTAGATATTTTAGAGCCTGGTGCTCTTTTCCACTCATCCTGAAGTGATCAGTCCCACCCAGAGGCAGATCACAATATCATATGGAAACCAAAAGAGAAACAACCTAATGATGTGGATATTTTAGAAATGAAGGAGGGGGAAGGGCTAAGGAGAAAAGGATGCAAAGGAAAGCCAATGATGGCTGGAATGATCATTGTATACTGATTAGGAAAATGTTATTGTTATCATGTATGCCCCAAACCCCCCAAAATTCTCCCCAGGCAGAGCACAGGCTGTAACTGCAGCCTAAACAAAAGCAATGGGCATTACAAGGTAACACCATTCCCTGGTGAGTGCAGCAATGTCAGATAAGGACACTCTCTCTCCACCCTTCCCCTTTCAAAAGTATTACGGAAGAACAAAACAACAGGAAAAAAAAAAATTTAAAAAAAAATCCATGTGCTCATGGCTCACTGTGCATTCAGTAAAAATGCCTCTCACTGCTGACCTGCAGAATGTACAAAAACTGTTTAGCTTGCTGTGTCACTTGCCATTTTTCATCTGTTTCTTCTCAAACCTCATTCTGTTCACCCGCACACAACTTTCCCTCCTGGCGCTAAATTTTCAAACAGCATCTCCTGGCGTCTACCTTGCTGTTCTGACCCATCACTCTCCTATCTGCATCTTCACTCCAGCCCCAGATTTTACAAATGGGAAGCTCCTGGCAGAAACACATCCTGTGGAGCCAGCTGAAATGTGGCTGCTGCCCTCTGCTTTGGGACTTGCTTCAGAGCACAGCCAAGAGCAAAACACGAGTTCTGCTGCTTGCTGGACATCTTGCCTGCAGATAAACACCAAAATGCACATGGATGCATGAGTAAGTGATACTTCTGAAATGATCCCTGGGGATTTTCCAGCCTCAGTGCACTGATACCAGAATTTCTCTGAGAAAAAACTGCCTTTGGTTGAGCTGGCAGCAGCTTTGCTCTGTAATGTTTTCAGTTTCATGTTAAGCAGGCTGGAGCATCCAAAAGCTGGTAGAAAAGATGACAGCAAAAAAACAATGCAGAAAATTGAAAGCCAGGCCCTACAAGTGCT